TAAGGACTTGACTCCACAGAAGACGAACATAGATTTGAACAAAGATGATGTCATTTTATATACCTATGTTCTTTAAGGATTCTTTTTCAACCACTTTTTTTCAAAGGTGAATGTTAGCATAATTAAATAAAATCAAGACACAACTCACAAAAAGAATAACAAATGAGGAGGAGAAATTGGAACATTTTTTTTGTTTTTTTTTGCTCAACGTAACTCCCTTCACCCACCTCTGTGATTCCCTATGGAAGTGGAGAGTAATTAACCCATAGCTGGGGGGGAGAAGAGGTGGATTCATACCTTTCCCAAAGGTATTTGTATGGAAGTAAATATAATTAACCCAACTAGAATTGGAATTCAGCTCTCTGATTAACAATTCCAAGCTATTATTCATTACACCACCTGTAGATAAAAAGCTTACAGCATATGGTATTCCCAAGCAGTCACCCATCTGGGTATTGACCAGACTCACTAACAACGTCATTTGAAGAATTTCAACAGCAGAAAAATAATGACATAATCCAGATGTTGACATTCCACACTAGTTCGAACAAATGGTTAGGAAGGAAACTCCCATCAATACTGGTGGAAAGAGCATTAACAGCTACTGGACCTGAGAAACATTTTCTTGAAAAATTGTTTTAAGAGAGAGATTTTATGAATTTCAAGCAAAAGCTGCACTAGCTAATTGGTCAATAAATGCCAAATGTTTCCTCATAAGGAAACGGCTAATATCACAACTACCATTTCCTTTGATATTGTTTCTAAGAGCATCTCTTATTTCTTAGGAAATCTAAAGGACTCAGACAAACTTTGATTAAAATTTGTAATATTAATTTTATAAAAGCTTGTAAATCTCAGTCAAGTTTGTTGTGGATTTCTACCAGAAGAAAACCAATAAACTACAACCGACAGAAAGGTCACCGATCAGGAGATTGGAAGTTTTGAAGAGCATGGAACCACCTTTTAATTGCTGTTGATCTCAGGCTCACCCTAACCTGGGGTAGTAAGCTCCTGTTAAGGTCCCAGCTATGGAACCACCAAACAAAAACAGAACACTATGAAAGTATGATAATGAATTTTTACAGTAAAATGACCAGCAATACATTTTGTAGTAGAATTACTAACAATACATTTTATCTGTAGATGAAGGCACAGAATTTCGTTCAAAATATATAAAGTCAAAGTAATAAAATTGCTTTCAAAATATTTAAATTTCGGCATTAGATAACTCATAGATATGTTGATATGCTGCTAACCAAACAACAAACATAAAGAAATCTTTCACAATATTAATCCATATAATATCCAACAATTTAAAGAAATCAAACTGTATTCCAAAATACTACATAAAACACATATATCATTGCCTTTAGTAATTATGTCCACACAAACATGTATATGCATAAAAGCTGAGCATCATCTACCATGTATTTCATTGTGAAAGCAGAATAGCATATCTCCCAAGAAAATTAAATTTCAGTATTAAATGACACATAAGGAGTTGATATATCATAAAACAAACCAGAAGAAAACCCTTTGGAAACCCTTATAGATTAAATCAAGAGTTCAGTTTTAAAGTTACCATAAGGTTACCTGGATCAATAAACACCTTAAGAAAGCCAGAGTGCCCAATGGACAAGATGTTATGCAAATAACAACAAAGATGAAGACATTAGTCTAAAAGTAAAGTGTCAATAATAATAACTGATCATCTTAGAACAGTGGTTCACAAACGGAGCAGCACGCCTCATAGGTGCAGCAGAAAAGGATAGCAGGTGAGGCGGAATGATTGAAGACAATCAAAGATTTAGAAACAGTTTCCAAAAATTTGTATGCCAAAAATAAATATGATTTCAAAATTTAAAATATTATAGATTACGTGTAATTGCATGCATGTGTCCCAGTATAAATAGTTATAAATAATTATTGACTGATTTTGTCATTATGATATTTTTGCATTATATCAAGTATTAAGAATATACTTTAGGCTCTGCAAATTGGAGGAGAGAGTTATCAATGATAATGTTCTGACTTAGAATTTATCTCATAAAATTTGGTGAGGCCCCGAGCAAATTTTAATTCTGAAAATGCGGCCCAGAGAAAAAGTTTGGGAATCACTGTCCTAGAAACTCAAATAGAAGGTGAAATATTTAATAAAACTAATGCTAAGTATTCGTTTTCACTTAGCTTGGCTTAGTATGATACAAGGCCAATGAAAAAGTGCAAGAAATGTCCCCAAAGACATTAGAGGAATAATAATTAAACCTTACCTTGGCTTTGTTATCCAATCACTAGATGGGGTTTCTGTAGATTCATTTGTGCCAATGTTGACCTCTTTATCTTGACTCTGTATCATTTCAGAGTCCCAGAGTGAAGCACTCGGTGTGTGATAGGAACCATATTCAAGACCTCCAAAAAACTGGCAGTCTATAAAATAAAATAATATATATATGTGTGTGTGTGTGTGTGTGTGTGTGCGAATGTGTGCATGTGTAAAACATTCAGATATAAATAAAATATACAGACATAATATATACTGTTCAAAAGAAAAACAGCCATCTATTTCAACTATATGTATCCACTAAAAATTACCCTTTGAAGTAACATATATATATATATATATATATATATATAACACAACTGTCAGATGCTGATTCAAAAACCCAATCACAAGTTTTCAATCAGCATTTGACAATTGCACTGTCCCTTTTGTATTCATATAATCTTTTATTTAGATTACTTGAGGTCTCTCCCATGTATTTTTTGTGACAGTTATTACAGGTGATGGAGTAAACTCCTCCTTCAGGTTTTAGCTTATTGTTTTTGTTTTGTATTGAATAAGTCTTTTATTGTTTTGGATGTAGTAGTAACAACTTTTACTTTTCTGCTGTCTACCAGAAATCAACCAACAAAAACAACCTAATAAATTTTTATTCCCATCATAATAACAAAATACAAGGGTCAGCTGGTAGACAAAATAGGGATGTCCATTTTGATTGGCTTAGCCGAACATGGGAATGTTAGATTTAGAAACTATATTTGAGGAGTTAAGTTTTACACATCATACACATTAGACATAGTTATTTTGTATGTCGGAAAACTTGCTTTCCAGTGGGAGCTGATAGAGTGACCCTACTGGCTACTTAAAAATGTATAATTTGACTTGTCTAATAAAATAGTAAGTCGAAATCCCTTTTGTTGAAGTTCTTATTTTATCTCTGAATTAAAAGAACAACTTGCGATCACCTGGGCAGAAAGAAGAAAGCAACATATGAGTGAATCAAGACTGTCGCCCCAAGACTAACCCCAGAATGAGGGGGTTATACAACATTTCACTACCAAAAACATTTCAACACCAGACTGGGAAAAGATGGCCAAGAGAGGAAGTATGCATTACTTGTTGCTCTTTCACAAATCCCCATCAATCGACACATCCTTGTGAACCAATGCTAACAAGCAGTTCCTTATGAACTGACCAATGACCAGGCTCAATGACGTGTAAACATTTGCAAAGAACTCAAGATAAGTTTGAACAGAAGATCATGTGGCATCTTTGGTGAAATTTCAAGGAGTTGTTGCACTTTGATCTTGTCTCAGATTGTCATGTGAACACTGACCTTTATGCTCAACATCTGCAGAGTATATGATGCTTTGAAAGCCCACTACCTGACATTGATCAATCAAAAACGCACACTCTATGACAATGCCCCAACACTCACTGCCAATGTGACCAAGCATAAAATTGAGGAACCTGGAGAGCTGGAAGAGTTGCCTCACTCTGCCTACAGCCCAGATCTTGCACCATCAGATTACCACTTTTTCCAAGCTATATCTCATTTCCGATGCAGACGGTAGTTCAACAATGTGGATGAGGTTGAAAACAGGTGCAGGGAGTTTTTTTTTGCCTCTAAACCACACAAATAATTTAAGCGTGGAATTGAGTTTTTGGCATAATGATGGCAAAAGATAAAATAGGATGGAATATATTTCAATAAATAAATGCTTTAGATATCTTATTTGTTTGAAACATCAATTCAAGCTTGAAATACAAAAAACATTTGACTCAACTTCGTGGACAGACCTTGTCATTTGAATTTAACAAAACTTGTTTGGATACACACACATATTCATATACAGTCTGTGTGGAATGAAAAAAAATTATATGGCTTTAAAAAGGAACATTTAAGAAGTATATATGCATAAGGATGAAAGGAAAACTTATAACAGATGCATTTCATCCTCTGGTGGACTTTATCAAGGCAAATGTAAGTGTGGCTAGACATATGGCCAAAAGACATTTGGCCAAGAGATGTTTGGCCGCATGAACATTTCACCGAAAAAGTACAAGTAAAATAATAACAAGCAATACTTTAATTAATAGTATTATAAGGTAGAATAGGATTAATAATTACAACTGAATTTCAAATGGTTAAGTTACTAAATCTAAATTTAAGTTTTTGTATTTTAATATTTGTTTATTGAAATGAGTATTTTTAAAAATATTTGAGTGTATTGGGTAAAAAGTAGTACCTAATTATTTAAATTTGCATTTAACAGTAAGATAAAATCTAGTTCATCCTTTTAAGATAATGATCATTAAAAGCAAAATTTAAAGATCTTTCATATCGTAAAAGCTTAAGATTTTTGCTGTAGTAAAATGTGCTTTTTCTCAAAATACTTAACATCTTACAGTAGCATTTGAAGTAAAATATAATATATACAGAATAGACTTTAAAAAAGCCTGTCAAAAAAAAAGAAAAATGATAAATTAATACAGTAAATAAATATATGTAGCAGATTACGATAAAGAATATGATATACATGTAATTACGTCACTACATTTTTGGCTAAATGTGCATTCGGTTAAATGTCTGTCAATAAAATGTCCCTCAGCCAAATGTCCAAATATCAAATGTAAGAATTTCATTTTTGCAACAAATATTTATGAACAAAAGTAAAAATGTAATTTTTTAAATAAAGCTTCCCCTACTTTAAAACATTAAAAAGGGTAAAGGAGTAACATAATTCAAGATAACAAGGCTCTTTTTCTTTCTTTTGTCTCCATTACTTTACCCCCCCCCCCACTTTCTTTCATGCACTTTTCATTTTACTCTAGCTTTCTTACTTACCCTCTACTTTTCCTTCTACACAATTTTTTTTACACTCTTCTTCCTCTCTTGCTTTTTAATATTCTGTTGTTAAATAAACAGATTGGCAGTTCGTGCCTATATCGGGTGTAGTGCAGAGGTGGGTGGGGGGGTACTATATTAGTCAATAAAGAAACTAGAAAAGTAAGAAAGCTGAAAAAGAAATGTTAATAAGCAAGAGAAAATAACAAAATACTACTCACTGTCTAATGGAACCTGTATTCTTTGCTGACGACACTTGTAAGGTTGAGCCCCATTTTCCAATGATTCACTGACAAAATCGTCCACGAATGACAGAGTAAAGTCCAGCTGCCAAAAATGCATACAAAAATATGAAAAGACACTGGAATATGACAAAAAAAAAAAAAAAAAATCTTATTTCCTTTACTCTTTATCACTCTTGAACTGTCATTCTACAGTGTGACCCGGATATAAGAGAGATTTTCTCTGGTCCCAAATTAGAGCCTGTGTTAATGTATATAAAATAGACCAAACCCGGATATAAGAGAGATTTTCTCTGGTCCCAAATTAGAGCCTGTGTTAATGTATATAAAATAGACCAAACCCGGATATAAGAGAAACCCGGATATAAGAGAGATTTTCTCTGGTCCCAAATTAGAGCCTGTGTTAATGTATATAAAATAGACCAAACCCGGATATAAGAGAAACCCGGATATAAGAGAGATTTTCTCTGGTCCCAAATTAGAGCCTGTGTTAATGTATATAAAACAGACCAAACCCGGATATAAGAGAGATTTTCTCTGGTAGAGCCTGTGTTAATGTATATAAAATAGACCAAACCCGGATATAAGAGAAACCCGGAGAGATTTTCTCTGGTCCCAAATTAGAGCCTGTGTTAATGTATATAAAATAGACCAAACCCGGATATAAGAGATTTTTTCTCTGGTCCCAAATTAGAGCCTGTGTTAATGTATATAAAACAGACCAAACCCGGATATAAGAGAAACCCGGATATAAAGAGATTTTCTCTGGTCCCAAATTAGAGCCTGTGTTAATGTATATAAAAATAGACCAAACCCGGATATAAGAGAAACCCGGATATAAGAGATTTTCTCTGGTCCCAAATTAGAGCCTGTGTTAATGTATATAAAATAGACCAAACCCGGATATAAGAGAGATTTTCTCTGGTCCCAAATTAGAGCCTGTGTTAATGTATATAAAATAGACCAAACCCGGATATAAGAGAAACCCGGATATAAGAGAGATTTTTCTCTGGTCCCAAATTAGAGCCTGTGTTAATGTATATAAAATAGACCAAACCCGGATATAAGAGAGATTTCTCTGGTCCCAAATTAGAGCCTGTGTTAATGTATATAAAATAGACCAAACCCGGATATAAGAGAAACCCGGATATAAAGAGATTTTCTCTGGTCCCAAATTAGAGCCTGTGTTAATGTATATAAAATAGACCAAACCCGGATATAAGAGATTTTCTCTGGTCCCAAATTAGAGCCTGTGTTAATGTATATAAAACAGACCAAACCCGGATATAAGAGAAACCCGGATATAAGAGATTTTCTCTGGTCCCAAATTAGAGCCTGTGTTAATGTATATAAAATAGACCAAACCCGGATATAAGAGAGATTTTCTCTGGTCCCAAATTAGAGCCTGTGTTAATGTATATAAAATAGACCAAACCCGGATATAAGAGAAACCCGGATATAAGAGATTTTCTCTGGTCCCAAATTAGTGCCTGTGTTAATGTATATAAAATAGACCAAACCCGGATATAAGAGATTTTCTCTGGTCCCAAATTAGAGCCTGTGTTAATGTATATAAAATAGACCAAACCCGGATATAAGAGAAACCCGGATATAAGAGAGATTTTCTCTGGTCCCAAATTAGAGCCTGTGTTAATGTATATAAAATAGACCAAACCCGGATATAAGAGAGATTTTCTCTGGTCCCAAATTAGAGCCTGTGTTAATGTATATAAAACAGACCAAACCCGGATATAAGAGAAACCCGGATATAAGAGATTTTCTCTGGTCCCAAATTAGAGCCTGTGTTAATGTATATAAAATAGACCAAACCCGGATATAAGAGAAAGATATAAGAGAGATTTTTCTCTGGTCCCAAATTAGAGCCTGTGTTAATGTATATAAAATAGACCAAACCCGGATATAAGAGAGATTTTCTCTGGTCCCAAATTAGAGCCTGTGTTAATGTATATAAAATAGACCAAACCCGGATATAAGAGAAACCCGGATATAAGAGACTTCTTCACCGATCCCGACAACTCTCTTAGATCCGGGATTACACTGTATGTTCTTAAGGAAGCAGAATGTATTAGAAATGAAAAAAACAACCATTTAGTAAGATTTTAGAAGAGTGTTTTAAATGCTTAAAATGATGGAAACAAACATCTATCTTTTTTTTGGATGATCACAAATTATTTTTCAGGATAAATCTTGTGTGTGTAGGTGTTTTATGTATCATTGGCTCCAATACAGTACTGCTTTTAACCCTTGGCTTATTTATTGGATTTTCCAAGAAAACATTTCAGATAAAACTTTCTACAATATAATGCATTACAGCTAACAACAATGCTGACACTGGATAAGATTACACCACAGCAGAAGAAAAACAACAAAGATGAGGATAGTCAAAAAAGAATTTCACTTAATATTTATTGCAAAATGTACATTGAAAAACTTTACAGTTCTGCTTGTATGGGATAACTTAACGAATGGTCCTTCAGCAGTATTCAAAGGTTACTATTCTTTCATTTTTAATTAATTACATTTTAACATGTTGACTGCCCGAAGTCAATTACAAAATTTGACTTCAAACACTGACTTTATGATAGCCAAATTAAGTCCAATAAATAAGCCAAGTGTTATAAACATTTACATTTTTAATTAATTGAATTAAAGCCTACTACTTTTTATGAAATTTGAATAAATACTGTTCATTTTTAGTTTTGTTTCAAGATCGTTTCCAAAAAGAAATTGATACCTCACTGTCTCTTTGCATCTGCTGATACGTCTCACACATGTCAAATTCTGAAGTGCTATCTTTGAATCGAGACTGACAAAGCTTCACAAGATTCATCAGTTCTTGAAATCTCTAAAAAATAAAAATGAAAAATAAAGACATTGAGAATAAAACTAGGAATGCTTCAACAACCAATGTACAGCTTTCTTTATACTCTAACAGGAGAGAGCTATGGTAGAAAGGAATTACATTTCCCCCATTATGGGCATTATTATATCTGTGATATAACAACACTGTAATTCATACATGGAATGGAATGGCTGAAACAAAAAGGAATGACAAACATGCTTTGTACTCATAGAGATTTTTATACCAATAAGACATACACAAAACTATATGTCTCACAAGAAGAATAATATATTTACATATATCTACCCAACAACATAGAGTGTAAGGACAAACAAAAAGGGTCTTACATATAATATGGAGATACTCTTACACAGGACTCCAGATTCAAATGGGCCCAATTCATTATGTCCCAGGCAAGAACATATTCCTTCATTGAAAAACAGCTAGTTGTGGGTTTTCCCAAATTGTGAACTGTAAGCTGGAGTTTCATTCTATATCTGGGAAAGATATATTCCCAAAGAGAAATGTTACCATGGACTTGTAAGTTGCAGATTTAGCCTCATACAGGCTAAAAGAAAGCAACCTCACATGTTGGCTACTGTAAAACAACAGTATTTGACTGCCGCTATGGTCACTGTATGGAATGAAGTCATTAAGCAGCCATTATGCATATGTGATTCATCTCTAAAAAATGGAGGTAAGCGCCTTCTGTATCCATACAATTGCTAGTTGCAAGAGGTGGGGTTATCTACAATCGACATATGAGGTGTCAGGAAAATATCCAGGGATTTTTCTACAGAAACGCACCTTGCTGAAAAATAATCATTTTTTTCAAATTTTATTTTTCATAGTAACATCAAACAATTTAATACACAGAAACAGACACACACATATTTCTTTTGTTCTGATCTAAGAAAACCTATCTTGTGATGCAGAAGTACATAATCAAATCAAAAAAGTTTCCCAAACTGTCAAATTTATCAAACTTTGTCTGGATTATATAACTTATTTATACACATAGTAAACTATTTTTAAGATACTTCTAGTAGCCAATTATAACTGTTATTTATGACTTTTAAGCTGGTTAAGCCCGAAAAGTAACACGACTGATATCATAAACAATTCCAATTCCAAATAACAAACCACATAGTTTCCCCTTGAAAGTAATCTCCTTGACTATAGTGCACTTTTCCATCTTTCTCTACTACGCTTCTATGCACTGCTAGGATTCTTCTTAAATGCCCCTCAGATTCATCGCTACGGACCACTTCATGGCCTCCATGCTTTCAAAATAGGTCCCTTTGATAATTCCTTTGAGCTTGGAGAAAAGAAAAAAGGAAGATCAGGTGAAGAGGGAGGTTGCTTGTGTACAACGATGTTCTTCTAAGCCAGGAACTGACAGATGCTCAGGGCGTTGTGAGCAGGTGCATTGTTGTGGTGAAGCAGCTAAGACTTTTCCTGCCACAACTCTTCTCATATACTAAACAAAACAAATGCAGCAGGATCTCTTTGTAGACTTATTGTTTGATTGTCTGGCCATGTGCCAAAAACTCACTGTGGCCAATGCCAATCACATCAAAGAACAAATAAGTCTTGTTACTTTTCAGATAGTTGTAAATTTACCAAAGTAGATCAAGACCAACTTTTTAATCTCCAGGCACTGTGCGTTTAGCAGAAAAATCAATAAAACTGAAGGTGGGTAAGACCTTTTTCAAAAACCAAGGCAAATATATATGCAAACAAAATTTTTAATGGATGAGCTGATGTTTCTTGCAGTTAATACAAAACATAATTCATGTTACGAGGTTTATATAGAGTGCTTGATAGTTTTCCTGTGACATTGGCTTCACACAAAAAATTACAAAAAACTGAAAAAATCATATTTTTCATACTACTTAGAATAAAAACTTGAATAACTTCCTCATTTTTATCTGATTTTCTTCAAACATGTCACAAAAAAATTGTCATCATGCAAGAAATAAAACAGTGTGGTTTTAGTCCTGCTCGTTTCCCCATGTATAACAAAAAAAATAAAAAACTATTAAAAAAAAACCTGTTTTTCAGCATTAACTCCCTGGTTTTTCATCTGATGCTTTCCAAATTTGCCATGTAAATAACATGACACACAAATTGTCTTGCATGAATGTTTAACTTAGATTATTTCAGATAAGTGGATGAAATCTAGGTCCAAAATTGGCTTTTGCTGTTTAGCCAATAGTTTCTTCATGTGATTCCATCCTAAATTGACATTCAAACAACCTTTGATGCAAAGATTGTTTGAGTAGGAAAAGGCAAAAATTCCCAAAAACCTATGATTAACCCCAGCTTTACAGTAAACATGTAATAAAGGAAGGGGTGTTCATGCGTTTGCACTTGCAGTTGAATCAAGCTCTGACGCTTCATCCTTGTTTTTGTTTGATTATTAAATTTGTAAACAATGCCATACTATTTAAAGTTATTATGGCCATAGGAAATTTACTGAATATCTAAATTATTGAAACAATTTAACCTCAAGCAATGACCACACAAGAAGATTTTATCAATGGAATTCCTTTATTAAGCCCAATCAAACACTTACGAAGGACATACCATAAAAAAGAGAAGTATCTTAGTATACCAACAGATGATGTATGCAAGTGGGGATGCAAACAGACATTTCTACAAGGTGTGCAGGTATACAATTTCACCACTTTCAGTGTTTTCAGGCAGTAATTTTTTTTTGTTCCTCCCTCTCCCTCTCACCAGCAACTGGTTTATGTATATGAGAGTGTAACAGAATGGAGCTGAGACAGAAATTGTAGCTTACTACCTGAAGATATCAAAGGTGATGAAACTGCATTGACAGTAAGGCAATTTTTTTTCTAAAATTCTTTGTCTTAAATTGCACTGCACTGTGTTTTCAATATTTGAATTAAGCACTTTTATTTCATATAACCATTTTTTAACAAATAATTCATTTGTTGGTTTGGTTTTTTTATATATATATATATATATATATATATATATATATATATATATGTATGGTGGACTCCCCTATCGCGAACAATAAATGAGGGTCAGTAGTAGACAGTGCCTTTCATTTTACACTTATGCATGGTAGCAGGGGCTATTGTGGAGAAAATCAGGTAAGGGAAAGACATATTTGATTTGTGCTTTCTTATGTGTGATACTAGCCCAGCCTTGCTGCAGCTGACAAAGCCACACTGACATGAAATTCATTAAAGCAGGATTTTGATGGCGTCTCTGCTTCAGAGCTTGACAAAGCTGATCACAGTGCTTCAGTCTACTGTCTTCAAACCCCTTTAACTTAATGAAACATGCCATTCCTTTCAGTTTGATGCTTGGGCTTCCCAGGTTTTCAAATTAAAGTTGAGATGTTTCAAGTTGTCTTTCAATTTGTCTTGACATATGAGGGTCCAACAATTCAGCTTCTAGAACTGAAGTGTCTACTACCTGCACATACAATTTATAGTTATATTGTGAAGACGTGTTTGTGCAGGACCATTGTCACCAAGGTTAAACAGCATAGTCTGTCCTACTATTTAACACATAGCTGGGAGGAGAAAACATGGATTCATACCTTTTTGTGTTTGCACATAAGTAGATGCAACAAACTCGACTGGAATTCAAACTTAGCCCTCTGATTTCTCATTCTGAGCCACCCATGCATCTTTATATAAGATTGATAAAGAGAAAAGGAAAACTTATCTTAGCCAATGCATTGTCCTGAGGGACTTCATCAAGGCAAAGGCAAAACTCAGACGATGAAATGCATCAACTGAACTAAGTTTTCCTTTTGTCTTTATTCATATTCTCATTTTACAGATATGTTCTATCTGAAATTTATATATATATATATATATATATATATATTGAACTCTCCCATCATTTTTGATGTATGAAGAACCAAAAGCCAGAGTACCCACACATATCATTTGATTATAGTGGTGAAGACTTGTGCAGAATCAACCACACTTTTTGGAAGAGCAGAATACATAGAACTGTTGCAGAGTCTGTCACAAGGTCATCAAACGACTCTCCACAGGTTTTGGATTTACATTTTTCCTTCTCCTAGAACGTTTGCTATCCAAGGCTATAAAACCCAGTCTGTCCTGCTATTTATCCATAGCTGGGGGGAGAAGAGATGGAGTCACATCTCTTCCAAGGATATTAGTATGTAAGTGAATGTAATGAACTTAACTGTAATTTGAACTTGCCCCTACAATTCCTCTATGCAAGCCATTATCTATTACTCCACTGTGCCTCCAATATATATATATATATATATATATATGTGTGTGTGTGTGTGTGTGTAAGATCATGGACAATATCAATAGTGAGAACTGTAGAAAAATTGAAAGTCATAAATAATGAATGCAAGTGGTTTACAGGAGATTCACATTTATAAGCGAGTTTCAGATGACATTGTTGCAAAGTTAGATCCATTTTTTTCCTACACTTCTGTGTACATAAATCATTTGCCAGTCAGGGAGTGAGGGGTAAGTTTAAATTTGTTTTCATATTTGCATTTGGAAACCAACTCTAATTGTTTTTAGTTAATAGCCAGCTGCTGGTCTGGAAATCCAATTACACTTAATTTCCCCTCCAAACAAAAAATATATCACTTTAACCCTTCCCTAAAAGTCAATGCTTTTATTCTCCCCCAACATTTCTAATTTACTTGACATTAAATAACCCAACAAATGTTAATACATCATAAAATCCACCAACATCAGCTATACATTCATTTCTATCCTTGTGGCCTCATGCCTACTTTGACAATGTTGTACTGTTTTCATATTGTCATCTCTTGAAGTAGGCTCTTTCTGTGGCTCCAATCTACACAAGATCAGGTTCATTACTTTTACTGTAGCTTGGTATACAACATTGTTAATTAAATAATTACCTATCAATGGACTTTATACTTACAGTTACAAGAGGTGGAAGTTAGGGTTATTAACAACCTTCAATATTTTACTGAGTTTCTTTATTAACTGAAGCATATTCTCCATACAGTAATAATTGAATCTATTATTTTAATAACATTACTTAGATCAGGTTGCTTAATCTTTGCTAAAGACTCCAGAAAAGGACTTACCTGTTGTGTCTCTGATGACATAGACATTAGGGGCAAAGAAGTAAGAAAGCAATGGACTAACTCTGGACTGACAGCCAATGAATGGAGCAGCTTGGTAATGGCCATCCATATCCAACTGTGGGTATTGTCAGACGTGCCCTTGGCAAAGGCATGCTTAAAGAATAGTTCAAGGAGGTCATTGGGGGGAATAGCCTGAATCACTTCGGCAGGATTTTCACCAAGAACCTGCAGGAAAGAAATATGATCAACACTTCAGGTCAGAGAATAATGTAAGGAACAAATTAGAGATTGTTGGTTTAATCAAAAAATGACTTACAAAAGAAATGAAGGAGAAAAAAAAAAGGAAATACATGATATCTGAAATCTATTTGTTTCAGTTTTCAAAAAAAAAAACATTTTATGGTAAAATTAAGTTAACAACAAAATAGCAAGTAAAAATAAAAACATAGTTGCCAGCTTCATCTTAATGTTAAATTTTATAAAGTCGCATTTTTTGTAAAGGTTTTCTAGTAAGCTAGTATGCCAATCACGAAATAAAGTTGTTGTAAACAAGAGAAAAATGAATGAAGATTTTTTTTTTTTATAAATAAATTTGTTTTTTTTTTTTATCTAGGGAATGTACCTAATTTAGATATTATGAATAATTAAAATAGTTCTTAATTTCACTTTTAAAATGTGCATATTTCTATTTTCTAGATATACAAGTCTCTCATGTAAAATTGTTTGTTTCTACAAATAAAATTATGTTTCTATCTAGAGAATACACCTAAAATTAGATATTAAAATAATAAAGTAAGTTTTAATCTAAGTTTTAAAATGTGTACATTTTCAAAACTGCAAGTCATTTTTTTAAACCCAAAGTAAAAATTATTCTTTTTTAGCCACTAGTCAGTGTCAGACAGTAGTTTCAATAATTTCAAAGTTCTTTTACCACACATTTATTATTATCAGATACTATTTTCTTTTTCTTTTTGCTTACTTTATAATGTTTGAAGGAATTTGCTTCCTCGGTTCAGAGAAGAAATGAACATCTTCCTGGTTGTAGTTCAAAGTGTCTTCTAATTGAGTGTACAATTTCAAGAATATTGATAAAGATTCATCACTTTGGTTTTGCGAAACAAAGTAACACGTAAAATTTAGCATAAAAAAAATCATATTTCACATTTTTGACTGGTGGAAGGAAAATACTGTTTTCTGTAGAAAAATAATTCAATGAAAAAAAGCACATACAAATTAGATATTTAGAAGGATTATTTTATTTTCTTCCTAGATATATGAATATTTTTAAGATTGGACCATAAATACACAAGATATTGCAAGTTGAATGGACTAAGTTGCAAATATCGACTGGAAATGCTATCATTGCACAAGAAAATTAATGGCTTTCTTAGAAAGCAAAAATACGAGATTTAAAAAAAATGAAAAACTGGAACAAAAAACACGGTATCAAGGAAAAAAAAAGAAAGGGAAATCGATACCGAAACATAAATTACCAAACTGACCAACTCTAGAACAGATAGATCTTGTGTAACCCACTGACGTTGACACATCTAGCAACACACCTATCACTTCTCAATTCACACACAACAATCCTTCCTTTCTTTTTTCTATCAGTCATGAGTTGCTAGCTCTGCTTTTGTTGAGTAATTGTGGGTCATTACTTGGAATGAGATTATTAGAATTTCTTTTGGTCAAGAAGTTAATTGATAATTAGAAACTGACAAGGGAGAAATAGATTTCAGGATGAAACAACTGAACGGCCTCAAACAGAGATTTCAAGAGAAAACAACTCACCCAAACTGCCACTTGAATTAAAGTATTTGGAAGCACCTCTTTCTTGAGATAGGCGGTATAACTGGTGCACACAAACTGGGCAAATTCTTTATCATCTTTGGAAGCTGGAATCAAATTCTTTAAATATGAAAGTGTACAAAGAAAAGACATTAACCATTTCATTCAGAAAAGACGATGATATCAAATAAGTTCAACAGATTTATCAAACACTGAGCCCTGATGAGTGATTTGATGTGAAACTCTAGAGTTGACTAACTAGATAAGTTACATGAACTTTTCTGAATTTATTGAATATTATGGCTTGTGTTATCCACTGAGTGCCTTTTGATAGAAGTTCTGCAAGCTTGAAAAAAATACATAAAATTCTCATAATTTACATACATTTTGCCAATTGTATATATATATATATATATATATATATATATATATAATAATAATAATTTATTTGAAAATTAGAACATAAAAATGTTATAAAATCACTACAAAAATAGGCATTTTGTTTCAAAACTTCTGGTGTCTTAATCAAGTGATGATGTTATCATTTTTGAATAAATTATATTTGCACTACTCTGTATTGAGAAGTCTTTTAAGAATAGTATTTTTAGTTATTGGAATTTATTTTGTATACAACAATCCTATACCTGGATATATATATATATATATATATATATATATATATATATATATATTTGGATTAATACAAATACAATTTAGCTGACGGTTTCAGTAAGTGACTGTCATTTTTCTCATTTTTTGTTATCTTTATACCAAGTTTATTTTTTTTGCTTTTATCTGGAGCTTTGCTTACACTGCTGCAGTTTTCCCAGTGACTTGGGTAGCAGCAGTCAGCTAGCTCCCACAGAGAACCTGCCATATTATTGGTTTCAAAGTTTTCAGGGGACTGCCTGACCTAGCTATCATCCCAAACTCAAATCTTTGCAGCATTTAAGAAATCCACTGTTCCCACATCTGGGCAGTGTGTTTCACTGTTGTCTACACAGGGTGAATTATTCACCAAATCACTATAGCAACTGTACCAGGACATCCATTTGTTGAAGCCTGCTGCTGAAACCTAATGCCACCCAGGTTGTGGCAAGATTTATTTCACTATAAAAATGTATTTCTACACTTTCATAGTGTCTTGCGCCCAGTTTGGGGGTTAACTATTTGCCCATAGCTGGAACCCTAACAGGTGCTACCACCCCGGGTCAAGGTGGACCTGGGAACAACAGCATTTAAGAGATGATTTCACACTCCTCAAAACCTCCCAATTGCTCCTGAATGTAGTTTATCATCATACCCAGTTTGATGTAATTATATATAAAGCCGTGTTGATTTCTATGTTCCCACTATCTATAAATGCTGAATGTTTCTCATATGAATATGACTAATTCTCCCATTATTGACTTGTGATAAAACAGACAGGATTTATTAACCAAATACACCGAAAACATTCACTCTGATGATTAATCATGATACTAATTATATTTTAGTACTAACGGCAATTGCACTTAGTATACCTAATTAAGATTTGTGCTTTAATTACTGCCCAATTACTTTACTAATGTTTTCTTAGCTTTAGTCATTTTTTCTGTCTGAATGAATTGAATATTTCTGGCAGCAAGGATTAAAGAAATGATCAAAAACCAAAAAGTGCAATGTTTTACCTATCATTTATTTTACCATGTTTTAGTACCAATTCTGTATGCTGTACTTGGAAAATCAAGAAGAAAGGGATTGTCATTGGTCAGAAATTAATATAAGCATTACAGATAGAATAGAGTAATTATATGTATAATGGAAATGCACTGCTAACAATTTTATAAAAAATACATTGAAAACTAAGAAGAAAAGGATTGTCAGTGGTCAGGAATGAATGCAAGTATTATTATGCAAGTATAGGACTATCGTATAATGTAAATTGATTGCTAATGATTTTACTATAGGAATGCATTGACAGGAAGAAATGAATTGTCATTGGTCAAGAATTAATGTAAGCATTACAGACAGAGCAGGACTATTATATGTATAATGGAAATGCATTGCAAATGATTTTATTGTAAAGGAGCATTGGCAATCAGGAAGAAAGGGATTCTCAGTGGTCAGGAATTATTACAGATATTTACTGACACAATAGAGATATTTATAATTACATAAAATTGTAAATGATATACTTATTTCGGCAATTAATAAAATGACAACTCATTACCATTGTCAATCACATTAAGGAGTCGATAAACAATTTCATCAGGAACATTTCCATTGGTGACTTCCAACAACTGGTTAATCGTCTCAACATACCACTTTTCACCGCTTGACAATGTAGAAAAGAATTAAGGATAATAATGTTAAAGAAGTTAGCAAAGTTTCACATTTTTCTTTAAAAGCATCTTCATTTCCAAGATTATATTAGATTCATGTCTTCTTTGTTACCTTAACACTAGGATGGCTGAGGTGTCACTTTCGACACCTTCAAATTTTCAACAAATTACTATGGAATAACTAGTTTTAGTTTGATGCTGAGGCTTATGGACAATTATTGAATTTTAGCAAAGATGCTTAACAGACTTAATTCTTTAAAAAATATTCAGTGGAATAGCTGATATTTGAGGTTTTACCTTGAATGGCCAAGGTGTCGTTTTTGACAACTAGGCTATTTATAGGGTAAATGCATTGAAAAATTTCTCTCAAGCAATAATACTTGGGTTTATGTCCCCTATCTTTCTATTTATCTATCTATACACACACATAATATATATATATATATATATATATATATATATATATATATAATCACTTTCTTTCAGTATACTAATATTTGTGAATTTCTTTTCAGACTTGTTATTCCTGACTTGAATATTGAATATATTTGAGATGGCTGCTTCACAGCATAATGTAAATAAAGATGTCAAAGGAACTGGCCATCCTAGTGTTAAAACAGGCTTGGGCAACTTTTTGGGGGCTGTGGGTCACATGATCTATGGCTAATCAGAAGGTGAGCTGCACTAATAAAAGGATTCAAGTTAATTTTTCACAATAAGTACCTCAACTATTTTCACTACAGAAGACCATATTTTTACTTTATGTGCCATGTCCTTTCAGGATGTAGCGATCATGGCTCTCCACTTCCCCCTATCCCTTGTCTCAGTAAGTTTTGTGCCTCTGCCAACACCCCCAGACCATTTTCTGTCATCCACTTGCTTAAGCCCGCTAGGTATGTCATGCAATGCTTTCCCTTGTCTCTTTTTCCCTCTATTCAACCTGTGAGTATCAGATTCTCCAGGCCCTTCTTTCTCATTACGTCCTAGAAATTTTCATCTGCCTCTTCCTTATGTTAAATATAAGTTTCCTCCTTGTTTGCATTCTCTCCAAGACCTCATCGTTGCTCACATGCTCGCCCCATGATATCCTTAGCATATTTCTGTAAAACCACATCTCCGCTGCCTCGAGTCTTCTTTGACTTTGAGGAGAGTCTAACATTTGCTGCCATATAGGAGGACAGATGTCACATAGCAGCTCAGTACTCTTTTCTTTGTCACCAAAGAAATCCTCCTGTCTCGCAATACTATGCCCAGCTTTTGGAATGCATCCTTGGCCATCCCAATTCATCTTCAGATTTCAGCGTTGCACCTACTGTCCTGTCAAAACACTTCCCAGATATATAAACTTCCGCACATGCTTGATTTTAGTGCTCTTAACCTGCAAATCGCATTTTGGGCTTATGTTTTTACCGACGACCATGCATTTTTAGAAATGGGTGAAAATCTTTTGGGCAGCGGGGAGATTTTTCTATAATTAAAAAATTGAAGACTTGGTATAATATCATCACTGGTAAAAAAAAAAAAAAAAAAGGCAATTTTAGCCCAATTATACAATTGTATTAAGCAAATATGGCAGAGCATTCCAAATGATTTTTGTGCTCACTTATCAAGCTTGATACCTAAGCAATGTGAAGCTGTAATTAATAATAAAGGTTACAGCACAAAATAGTGATAAATATTTTGTTTTTTGTTTTTTTTGCTCATTTTTTACTATAACTTTTTGCTTTACATATAATAATACCCATGTGGTCTTGAACTTATTTTGCCGGCAAATTTGGATAATTTAAATTAATCCGGCATTAAAATTTTTCAAATTGTAGAAAAATAAACAATTTTTACAAGATTCAAAAGAGAAATAAATTCTACATAAAGTGTACATGATAAAACTAATTTATATTGTTTTATTAGAAACATGTTCTGAAATGAATAAATCTTAAAAACCATCGGTCTTATACTTATTTTTGCCAGTGTATATATTTTATATGCTCTGTTATGATAAATACATTGAGCTCTTTTTGTGGATCAGTCTTAATATTTCATATTATTAGGATTTATTTGAATTATTACCTATATATATATATATATATATATATATATATATATATATAAAACTTTAAAATCAGGATCACATCAGGCGATTTTTTTATCAAGTTGGTAAAAAATCACCTGATGAGACTGTAAGGTCAAAACCAAGGTTGCAGATCCAACTGACCTCCTAATTTTTAAAGTTAAAAGCTTTGAATGTTATTTTTATTTTATTTTTTCAAACATGTACTGATCACTTTTTAATACTACTGTTTCCTGGTTGGTTTCAACTCTGACCATTAACCTTATATATATATATATATTTATATATATATATATATATATTTAATGAACAACAGACACTTTAAGGTACCATTACAATAATTTTATATATATATATATATATATATGTATGTATGTGTATGTATGTGTGTGTCAGGAATTAATTTTTCTGCCATCTTTTGCAAAAAAAAAAAAAAATGAACAAAGAATCAAAGGATATTTCTCAACAAGGCTAAATAGCTTGGCAACAATGTCGGCCTGCCAGAATGGGTCATGGCTTGTCTTGGAGATATACTTCAGTAGATTGCGGGAAATCACATCAATATTTACTGGGTTCGCCATCTGGTACATCAGCTCCAACGTCTGGAAAAAGATGAGCACAATAATATGAGGAAATAAAATTGAACCTTCATGCCCACAACAAAAACCAAGTGTCAAAGGGACAGTTTTTCCCTTGACACCGTTATTATTTTAATTACCTTCACTCCTTAGCAATGTTTATTGTTTTAAAAAGTGATGATTAGAATTGTAATAAAACCTTAACATACTAAATTTAAGCTCAAACAAAAAACGATTACAGTTTACTGGCTACTGCAACCAAGCGGACAGGGAAATTTTCTCATCCTCACTTCTATGGCATCCTTCTGGAAGTGTCTTCTCATGAAAATTGCCTTTCCCAAACAACATAGCTCAAGACAAGAGTTGGACATTGGGGATCTGGGGACAGCAATACAGGAACAAACAGTGTGGAAAGGGATTGTCAATGGAGTTCCAACCAATCGTAGGGAGGTCAAAGGATGATGATGATTATGATGATGAAGAAACATGAAGAAAGCAAATTTATACATTTTTTTTTTTTGTTCTTGAGAATTTACAACGACTGGTAACTGAGTAATATAGAAGGTTTGTTGTGATGGTTATCATCAGGTAAAGTGGATCTGGTGATCAGAGTTCAAATTCTGGTTTAGTCTGTGGTATTCACTTTCAGATTTGGGTAAATCATGAATGTATCTCTTCTCCTCCCAGCAATGGGGTAAGTAGTAGTGTAGACTGGGATCTCTAGCCTTGGATGGCAACCACTATTATACGAGAAGAAATATTCTGAATTCAAAACCATATAGAAAACAATAGGAAATGAAGCCACTATATTTCTCAAGAAGTCTTGGTAATTCACAGATAATAATGAAATAGAAAGTTGTAACTGCATCGGTCCTGAAGGGACATTATGTTAAGAGTAATAAAAAAAGAAAAGAAAAAGATTACCCAGATAGAAGAGAGTGATTTTCCAAATTACTCATTCACTCATAATACTTTATTATGGTTAAATCTATAATCCCCAATGTTTTTCACTCATGGTTTTTTTCTTGGCCACCTCAATACTCCCATGTATATTCCTCTGGAGATATTTTGACAAATACAATATCTGTCTTGCAGAAAACATATCATGGTGATTCCCTGACTCCATAAAACCTCCAGACTTTCAACTTAACCACATAAATATCATTGAGATTGCACTACTATTTGGCACACATGAAAAGCAATAATGTTTCTCACATCATAATGTAGTAATACAAAACAGCATTAACAGAAACCAATAACAATAATAATTAGAAACAGCTGTGAAAATTTCACAGTTTTCCTATTTGAATTTTCAGACGAATCTTAAAACTTCAGTTAATGAGTGAATAAGTTTATGATGAGTTCTATAACAATAAAATATCTGTAGATATTCACTATTGCAATATAAATCATAAATATGAATACTGGTCATTAATTAAAGAAGTAAGTGGGTACAAATATAGATATTTTAAATTGACAAGGTTTTCCATTTCACTGAAACAGACATTAAACAAATCCCTTCTTTCTTTCTTTCATTCATTTTCTCATTGAAACTAAATAACACCTCTGATATATCTTTTCCATATTTCCACACAATAAAACGGAATAGTCCATTATTTATGAGGTATTGGCAGAGTGTAATGGTTGTGCTAACAAAAGGAGGAACAAGCAATATAATAATTATTAGGTTGTCCCAAAAGTTCGTAAACACTTGCGGCAAGAAAGTCATGTTGTGCGTTTGGTGGAACTTTGAAGGAATCGTGCATTTTGAGTTGGTTCCGAATGGTCGTGCCATCAGTGCCAAACTTTACTGTCAGCAACTGGAGCAGGTCTATGAAAAGTTGAAGCAAAAGTACCCAGCTCTGATCAACCGAAAGCGTGCTTTGATGCAGCAGGACAATGCCAAGCCACACACCGCCAGGAAGACCAAAGACAAGTTTGAAGAGCTGGACGGCGTTGAGGTTCTGCCACATCCAGCCTACAGTCCTGACTGTGCTCCATCAGATTACGGCCTTTTCTGCTCAATGCAACACTTTCTGAATGGCCGCCAAATTGACTCGTTTGATGAAGTCGAGGAAGCGTGTCAAGAATTCTTTGATTCGAAGCCGGCTGAATGGTACTTTCACCAGATCTGAAAGCTTGCAGATCAATGGCAGAAAATGATGGTCTTTATTTTGAGGAATAATTTTTGTTGTTTTTGTTATTACTTGGCGAGTAAAATTTCAATTTTTTGCAAGTGTTTACGAACTTTTGGGACAACCTAATATAATACTAACAATAATAATAGTAGTAGTAATAATAATACACCAGTCATGTCTATCATGGTTTCTGACCTTAATTGATTAGAGGTGTTAACATATACAGTGGAACCTCGGTTCACAGATTTAATTCATTCCTGAAGGCTGTTCTTAGCTCAAAATATTTGCAAACTGAAAACTATTTTTAGCAATCAATGAAGAGAAAGAAAGTCACAGTACAATAAAATTGGGAAAGAAAAGCACAACACATGAATGTATACAACACGGTTCAGAAATGTTGTTCAAGAAACAAAATTTTGTTTGATAACCAAGGAATTTTTATCTCAAATTTTCTGTTTGAAAACCGATTCGTTCTACATGTGAGATGTTCAAGAAACGAGATTGTTCTGTATATTTGCTTGTCAATTACCTGATCATAACCTGTTGGCCATGTCCCCCAGGGATTGAAGTACAGTATGTCCCTTTTCATGACTTGAAGAGCATCATAGCTGCGTGTCAAGAGATGAGTTTTTTTTTTTTTTATAAGTCTGAACAATGAAGGAGCCTAAGTGACTTAGGAGTCACGTCTAGATACTTGTGAACACCTTCAACAAGAGATAGCATTTTAAAACAATAAAAATTACCAAGGGAGTATAAGATAATTGCATTGTCAAAAGACAAAAAAAAAAAAAATGTCCTTTTGACACATCAATTTTTTTTGGTGGGGAGTTCGGATATGTTTGTTAAACTTTGTTAATTAATAAAGATATTTTTTTAAAGAATTCTTTAGGAAGAAAAGAAAAAAAAGTAAAAGAAAGATGAACCTTTCTCTGAATTGCTGCATCTGGGTTCTCAAGGCATTCCATCACGATCATCTGGTAGTCGACAGCATAATGAGGTGCCACTACTACTAATGAAGTAAGGGCTTTCATACCTGAATTAAAAATTTAAATTTCTTTGACGTAAGTAGAAATTTGGTAATTTTCGCATATCAAACAGAGTAGGTTTTTTTTTTTTAAATAACAATTAATTAATAAAACAGTATTAATATATTTTCCATGGAAAAAAAAATGAGAAAAATGAAAGAATTATCCTGAATTATTTAGGGTAGGAATTGCTTCCCTTGCAATGGTTATAATTAAAATTACTTCCCTTGAACTTAAAAATTTATTGTATTCCAGTTGCTTCGAAGTAATTTCCCGTTTTTATTTTTGCTATATTTTTTGAATTCTTTATTTTTTTTTTTTTTGTTAATCTAATTGTTTCGTTCGCTCAAGTCCCTCGTCTTTTCAATATTTATTGTATTTTGGTGTGTCAAATTTAATCCGAATTAGAAATTTGAGTCCCTTCTTGTAAACATCATATCTGTTGTCTACTTGTGAACTCTTGGAATTTGGGAGCCTTTTGTATTTTAAAGAGTCAAATATTCCAAAATGCAACTGACACCAGAGGAAGACCTAAGAATATAGCGGCCAAAATAAAATAAAAGAAGATGTGGAAATTAGTTCAAATAAAATAGAAAGATTACAACCACACTGATAAAAAAAAAATAAATAATTTTATTATGGTCCCTCTCGAGGTTAACAATAGGTGTAACAGCTTTTTACTGTCCGAATGTCCTTGTAGCCCAATAGTTTTCAGGGAAATGGAATTAACGAGCAAATTCCAGCCTTGTCTGTTGTATTCACTTTTGTATTGATATACTTGGGAAAGGCATAAATCCATCGCTTCTTCCCTAAGTTAAGAATTAAATAGCAAGTTACACTGACTAGTCTCTCTAGCCTATTGTGACAGCAAGTCGAGAAAGAGTCTTCTAAATTCAAAACTGTAGAAAACTACTTCAAAATCTTTCCAAACAGATCATGGCAATCCACAAATAAAGAAAAAGTATTTGTGGATTGTCAGGACTGTTTTCATCTTGAAGGGACAATGGTATTGAAAAAGTGAAAGACTGCTCAAAAATGGTAGCGCTGGGGAAGCGATTTGCCTAAGTGTTTGCTCATCTGTAATATCTTATTACTATAGATATCTTTATATAATCACATGTTACCAAAATTTAAAAGTGAATATTCAAAAAATGAAAGATATCTTAGATTTATGCTAAAAAGCACTGTACCTTTGAAAAGCTAAACAAACATCTTTATTGTATTTGTCTATATTTCTGAGAGTAACTATTTACACTATTTACATTGTTTGCACTGTTATCTTCATCTTTATTGCCATATTCACAGTCTATATTTCTGAGATGAGGTATTGTAACTATTTACACTATTTACAATGTTCAGACTGTTGTCCTTATCTTTATTGCCATATTCACAGTCTATATTTCTGAGATGAGGTATTGTAACTATTTACACTATTTACATTGTTCAGACTGTTGTCCTCATCTTTATTGCCATATCCACAGTCTATATTTCTGAGATGAGGTATTGTAACTATTTACACTATTTACATTGTTTGGACTGTTGTCCTCATCTTTATTGCCATATTCACAGTCTATATTTCTGAGATGAGGTATTGTAACTATTTACACTATTTAAATTTTTCGGACTGTTGTCCTCATCTTTATTGCCATATTCACAGTATATATTTCTGAGATGAGGTATTCTAACTATTTACACTATTTACATTGTTTGGACTGTTGTCCTCATCTTTATTGCCATATTCACAGTCTGAGATGAGGTATTGTAACTATTTACACTATTTGCATTGTTCTCATCTTTATTGCCATATTCACTGAACAATGTAAATAGTGTAAATATCTTTATTCTATTAATATTATTTTGTGCTGACCCACAAAGAGATTCTTACCAATCCATGAAAAAAAAAAAAAAAAATCCAGATTCTGTTCTTATCTAGCCTACAAATGATTTTTTTTCAGTCTGAATTTTTCTTGAAAACCAAAATATGGATAATATTTCAAGCTAGTTTATGACATTTATCTGGCCTGCTGTCTACGTGTTCATATGTGATCCAGCTCACAGTGGAAATAAAACTACTGGACCCTGGGTTGCAAAAATTTAATGTATGCTCTTAATGAAATAAAAAATAAAAACGTACAAGGCAAAATAATTTTTACCATTAACAGAAAATCATTATTTGGCAAATTCTTACCCAAGTACTTCAAATTTTGATTGCTTGAACGCAGAAATTTTCCCACGGCCCTCGATGCTTCCTCTAAAAGATCTGGGTCTGGCACAATACGACTTATGGTTAGTATGCATTCATAGATGATAGCTGCAATTAAAATGAAAATAAACGAGAACATCATTAAAACAATAACTTAGTGGATTACAGTGTTGATTTTTGAATGTAATGACATAGTAAATGTGAGGTCAATCCTAGGGCTGGGTAGTGTAGTACATACATACCCACATGCTAACTCTATTAGATCAACATATGACATCTACTAAGAAAAACCGAAGAGATTAAAGCAGAACAACATAAAAAATTTTTTTTTTTTTTTAAATCACATTTCAGTTCTTAAGTTAAAAAGAAGTTTTGTTTTGTTTTTTATTTTTTCAAAAAGTGATCTTTATTATTACAGAAAGTACAAAATGTCAAAATATGGACTTTGTAATTAGTGTTGCTGCCTTTGCTTTGAAGAATTGCTTCACTCCAATGTCAAATTGATTGAAATACAGTTCAAATTCTCTCATTGGAATTTTTTCCCCATTCTTCAGGGTAGTAATCCCAAAGCTCTTGAAGATTGCTTAGTTTTTGTTGGAGCACTTATTTCTTCATTTCCCACTACAATGATTCAATTATATTGAGATCAGGAGTTTGTGCTGGCCACTCTTTCATAAGTTGAAAGGCCAAAAGAAACCTTTTTGCTAGACATGATGTGTGGCAAATAGCACCATTATACTGAAAAACTTCTCCATCTTCATAGTCTGGCAGAAGATTAGACAGCAGTAAATACAGTTTTTGCTGTTTAGGTTTCCATCAACTTTTACCAAAATTTACATTCTGTGGTACATCAGGCATTAATTCTTTCTTTCGCCGGTCTTCTTACTTATTTACTTGTGTTAGTGTTGTGGTAAACCCTCATACAGTAATATGAACTCTTCCTCCTCTCATAAATACTAACTGCGAGACTTCCTAGAAGAGAGTCATAGGGTAGCCGAGATGCAGTGTTAACCTATGTTCGGACGTATACTTCTAACTGCTTATTACTAACACTTTTGCTTTGTATCTGTTATTTTAATAGACTTGTTCAACATACCTTCGTCTTCCATGTCTTTCTTTCTGGCCTCTAAACAGGCCGCAACAGTTAACTTAATGTAACTACTCTGCTTTCATAATAAAAATTTACTTTTTTGCTGCTATACACCCATTTACTGCAATACTCTGTGTACTGTATCAACTGGACCCTCTTTTGTCTGGCTGTTAATTTTTAATTGTCTACCAAGGCTCTGACAATCTTTCTGTCATCTCTTTGTGTTCTTCCAGTTTTCTTTTCACTTAAAACACTTCCAGTAGTAGCAAATGTCTTGAAATTCCCAGCCATCTGACTATGTCTCATTGAGATATCTTCCTCTTCAAAGTTACAAGTTTAATCTTTCAGCAAAAATTTTAGCCATTGTTTTAGTGCAAAAAAAGCAAGCTAATGTTCAACTACAATGACTTGCCAAGGAACCTTACATTCATGATAATAAGATGGAACACTTCCTACTTAGAAAGTTGCACATTTCGCTTGACTTTATCATCCAACCATCTAATATTAACCAAAAATTTTTAATTTTTAAAAAAGCCTACCTATGGAAATAGCACCTTTATTTCAGTCCCATTGGGACTTTATTGACTTATCCCAGCATTCCTTCCACTTTCCAAAAAATAAATGCAATGTCCATTTTAGGGATTACCATCAGCTGTCATCAAACTCTCCTTAATCCCTAATCTTATCCCATCTTAAATCTCTTCCTTTTTAATGACAATTTTACCTTTTGAAAATGTCATGTGTTGTTAAAGAAGTTTAAGTTGGGTGGGGGGCACATTGGAATATAGGGGTCTGACAAATCTGGGTGATGTGATATTTTGTTAAAATTCCCTGCATGAGGCATGAAGAACCCACCCAGTCATTGTGAATACATCACTGAATATACAAGCTCACTCAATAGTAGTTCACTACTGACTGAGTAACCATGGGAGAGTGTTCATCCATGCACAGTAAGTTCTGCTCTGGTTTGCTGACAAATTACATCATCTGGTCAATGAACTCTCAAGATATTCAAAATGGCTGGATACTTTCCAGACAGATACTGTATACACATCAAGAAGGATGAAAATAAATATATGATAAAAATATGCTATATTTTTTGATCAGAAATAGAGCATATATATATAAATATAAAAGTGGATACTGATGTTAACACCCACTGGTGACAGTCTGTTTCATATTTAAATACAGTTGTCAGGCCATTGTGTTGGCATTTTACAGAATTTGGAAATTCTTGCAAAAATCAAATAATTATTGGATTTTAATGAAATTTTCAGGACTTATTCACAAATGAATGAAATTTTTTTTTGAGAAAATCTTGGTAAAAATAGATGTTTTTACATCTATTACACACCTTTTAATTAATTTTATGAAATTTTGAGAAATTAAAATTCCACCCTTTTCATATTTATATTAAAAGCAGGAGTCCTTGGAAAATTTAAATCATCAATTTTTTTTTGGAAAACAGAAACAGCATTTACTGAAAATTTGCTCTGAATAGTAAAATAAAAAATGCAATAAAACTATGACATTATTCAATTAGAAAAGATTTTAATTGCCTTTATAAATATATTACAGACACTATTGCCTTAAGAAAAACATTTTTTTTCAATGAATAATGAATTTTTACAAGAATTGTTTCATTTTTTTTTAAATTTTAATTAGAATAGCATATTAAGTTTTAAATCTTTTAAAATTCTGTATTAATTTAACCCTCTTAAATGAAATTATTCTTAAGTAAAAACTATATTCACTAAACATAAATGGAAAAGCTTAGTACAAATCATCAAACACTAATATATATAAAAGGATTTTTTTGTATGTGTATAAATGTGCCAATATTTGTAGATATGGATGTTCATATAGGATATTATCAAAGAATATGAGCAATAACTATAGTAAATTTAAATCCAAAATATCTAAAATTCAACCAGACATTAGATTATGGAGAATATTTTCCTAAATTTTTAAGATTACTGAATACTTAAAAATTATGTATAAAAGATGGTCATGTTATATTCAATCATTTTTTATGGATAATACCTCCATAGAACATAGAACAACATTAGATAAACATCAAGCAGATTAAAGAAACAAGATATGGACATATTTAAAAAATGTATTTTTGCAATACTTTAAACTTAAAGTAAATAATATTTGTTTCAAATCAGATTAATTATGCTTTAAATCAGCTAATATTCTTCAAATAAAGTTTCAGAAAAGTAGTATATTACATTTTTGGAAGATATCTTTTAATGAAGAGACTTACATTGTAATAAACATGGACTAAAAATGATATCAAAATCAGAAAAAAAAAGAAAGAAAAAACTCCTTCCAATCAATTTAAATTAGTTTTGAAATAGAGCAAAATATTATGCTTATTGGAAATATTAAATTTAATCTATTAGCTAAAATAAAATCTTGTAAGTGTAAGCGTTCTCAAAGCAAATTTGTTGCAGATTACTCTCCCAACAAACGCCGTAGCCAAAAATGCCCGAATTTTCCTTTTCCGAGGTACCTGATTATCTCTTTCACTACACTCCCCACTGTCACATAAGTGACACTCATGGGCGGGCCTCTTTATTCTTAAGCTTCTCCGGAGCGGGGCAACTGTTGGAGGAAATTGTGTGTTATGTTCTGAGGTTTCTTCTGATTTGACAACCTCATGCACAGAGTCTTCATCATCTGAAGATTCTTCTTCTGAGGATTCTTCTGGTCTGACAACCTCACGCACAGAGTCTTCACCATCTGAAGAGGTGCTAGCCCTACCTCCATTGGTAATTATTTGTTTTTCTGAGCACTCACTGCTAGTGTCACTTGTTGACGATATCTGTACCTACATAGCGCCTGCAAGTCCTTTATGTGTCTTGGTATGCCATCAACCAGCACAGAGCGCGAAGTTACTTAGTCCAGTGACATGCCCCACCTGGCACCGGGTTGTACACCCGGCTATGTTAAGCTTTCAATAAAATGCGATGGGAAAGTCATACGGTGATCCTTAATGGGACGAGATACTGCTTAACCTGAATGGAATTCAGACTCAATGTAAGATTTCCGGCCATCATAGAAAGCCATCGTGGATGCTGTGCTATCCCAGGATGAGACAATTCGTCAAGTGGCGTCAGCCTACATTAGCGAGTTGAAACCTTAGTACCCGCTTCACAGGTGAGAAAGCATCTTGCTGACTTTGGTTCTCGAATGTAAGAAGGATGGTGCTTTCGTGTGCTTGGCTTGCAGGTCTGGGGAGCACAACATGCTTTACTGGAAAGATTTAGATAACCAAACGAGCTCCCAGACATTCCCAAACACATGACATTTCATAGCGTGTTTTCATTATGTGGAAAGCTGGTGGGACATTTTCCTGTGGGCAGGTGGATCCGCATTGCAACTGCTTTTTACACGCGCTGTCACTTGGGTTGATGAGGTAAGTCACCGTTTTCTTTAGGCTATAAGATTTTTTGCTGACTACTTTTTGGTAATCCTTCTTCGGCAGATCACACACAAAACACAAACTTTTTTCTGCATCTGCAATGCGGATCCACCCGCTCATGGGAAAATGTCCCACCAGCTTTCCACATAACGAAAACACTCTGCGTCGGGTCATGTGTTTGGGAATGTTCGGGAGCTCGTTTCCAGTAAAGCATGTTGTGCTCCCCCCAGACCTGCAAGCCGAGCACACGAGCACCATCCTCCAGTCATCCTGGGTTCTTACATTCGAGCCCAAAGTCAGCAAGATGCTTTCTCACCTGTGAAGCGGGTACTAAGGTTTCGTTGATGTAGATGTCATCAATGTAGGCTGATATTAAATTTCATATAATTGTCTCATCCTGGGATAGCACAGCATCCACGATGGCTTTCATGATGGTTATAAAATTACATTGAGTCCGAATACCATTCGGGTTAAGCAGTATCTCGTCCCATTAAGGATCAGATGTCTGAAATGGCCACAGTGACGGTGCACGCATTACATGCAAGTAGGCTTTTCAAGGTCAATCACAGAGACATTGATCCAGAATTTAGCCATTCTCTCATTTTTGTGCACACACATCAGCATGAGCTGTGTATGTGTCTACATGTTCGTTCAGTTCTCTATAATCTAGTACAGGGCGCACCTTTCCCTTGTTCTTTTGTACCACGGCCATCAACGGGATGAGGCCTCTTGGAGGACCAAGCTCTTCCTCGGGATATGGAGTCAGCCATCCATTATCCAGCCACACCTGCAATTTCGCTGGTATTCTTCCTTGATGTTCGGGCACCAAATATTCTGACACTCGGTTCTGGAGCTTTTCTGGTGGGTTATTTTCCGACCATTTCCAAAATGCTGTCCATGTCTTCGTCCATTGGTGAACTCTGCGCTTAAAGTCGGGCTCGTTGATTTTCAAAGTAGCTCAGATGGGCGGATCAGAAAACTTGACTTCCCGCCTCTGTAATGCGTGACGCCGCCCAGCTCCTTAATAATGTCCATCCCAAGGAGCAGATCGAAACCTAACAACGCGCTGTCCACAACCAACACACTGACTGTGACAGGGTCACCGTTGTTGATACTGAGTTTGATGTTTCCAACTCCCTGGCTTCTGAGAGCCTTTCCATCAGCTGTTAGCATGTCCATCTTTTGTCTGCTCCACTGTCGGCAAATCGAATTGTTCGTGAGTGACCAAGAGCAGCCCGAATCTATTAAAGCTGTACGCGTTATTCTATTGATGCGTAGTTTAATCCCAGGGAGCGCCTCTTTCATGCTCGATGCGGGGAAGAGACCGGCGCTGACGTCGCGTCCCCCATTCCATTTCCCGGACACTTATAGGCAATATGACCTACTTTATGACATTGGAAGCATCGAGATCGAGGCGTGCTTTTCGCGCCCAAAACCGCTCAGCGCATTTCTTCGCGTTGATAGTGGCAGTCTCTGGCAAAATGATTCGGCCCAGAGCAGCGATAGCAGGTGGCAACGCCATGGCAAGGAATGGCTAGGGTCGGACCTTCTTTGACTTCAATTGGTTGAATAACTGCGGCCACTGGTTCATCTGCCTCTTTTTCGTCGATCATGGGAGCACGGGCTCTGGTCAACAATTGATTGAGCGTCAGGTCTTCCATTCTGGATGATGCGCGGAGTATCTGCTTAACATGACTGGGCAATCCAGAAACGAAGGCACATGTCATCCATTCTTCAGGAAGCGGTGCCATTGGAATGGCGAGCTTCTTTAATTCTGCCAAATATACGTCTACTGACTCGCCAGGTCGCTGACGCCGTGCCTGGAATTGGTCGTAGGCCACGAACCGGTCAGTTCCAAACGCGGTTAGTAGAGCGTGCTTTATTTGCTCAATGTCACTTTTCTGTTCTTTACTCAGCTGCCTATACACAGCAAGGGCACCGCCATTCAATCGCAGTAGATGAATCCATTCAATCTTCGTGATCTCGCATAATTCACAGACCAGTTCCACCTTTTCGATCCATTCAACCACAGACTGTCCACTCGTATCACCACTGAATTCGGGGATCAGTTTTATATCGAACGGTCTTTCCGCCATCTCGCGAGAGACAAAGTAAACGCCGAACTAGCTTTTAAGTGTAAACGTTCTCAAAGCAAATTTGTCGCAGATTACTCTCCCAACAAACGCCGTAGCCAAAAATGCCCGAATTTTCCTTTTCCGAGGTACCTAATTATCTCTTTCACTACAAATCTATCAAACTAAAATAAAATTTTCAAGAAAGATTTTTCATTTTTAAAAGTTAATTATAAACTCATGTATCTCCTTTTCTGTGGAGGTACCCACTTAATAACGTACGTGATAAAATCAGAAACAAAAAGAAACTAAATAAAAATTAGCTAGACTTTTACCCAAACACATTAAAAAAAGATTTTTTTTAAGAGTAAAATTTCAGTGTCCACTCCCCTTTATGCACATGTGTATTTAACATCAACACAAAAATCACTTTAGTTCAATGACATCCTAATGGACAAGAAAAAAAGTTTTTTTTTCCCCACTTCATCATTAATTTTCCTCTATATATATATATATATATATTACTGCAATCCATTTCCTCTGCAACACGTGTCTCCTACTCAATACAGCAGTCACTGTTTGTTGTTGCCTCATTATGCCCTTTTTTTTATCTCCTCATTGACAGCCAAAATTTACATACGTGAAAAGATACTCTCACATGAGTGTATCCAACTAAGGGATCTATCTATATATATATATATAATTAGCTCTGGATTTGCATTGAGCTCTTAGGATCTCATCCTCCTTGGGACTACCCATACGGATTACCAAGTTTTTTCGTTTTTCATAGCCATACAGATTACCAAGTTTTTTTTAACTTATATATATATATATATATATATATATATATATATATATATATATATATATATATATATATCAAATATGTGGTGCAGTTCAATTTATATTATATGAATCATTCATACAAAAAACAGATTAGTGAAGTTAATGATATAAATGGTGAGAATACATCTTTGCAAACAAATTTATTAAAATTTCATTAACCCACAAACCTCTAGATGAATGTTGTGAGCCTTGTCTTTAATAAATTCAACTTGTATAAGGTCATTTTTGCTGGTACTTTCATCTGTTCATACAGACATCATAAGGTTGAATTTTTTGTAAATTTAAAAGAGACCGCACGCTCCAGAAATTCTTACAATTAACAATAATACATTTCTAAAAAACATATTTCGACTCACATCTAATCTTTTGTGTCCCGTTATTACCTGGATGTATTTAAAAAAAAAAAACAAATCAATTTCCATGCCTGATAAATGATGAAAGTACCAGCAAAAAAAGACCTTATACAAGTTGAATTTATTAAAAACAGAGATCACAATATTTATCCAGATGTTTATGGGTTAATGTAATTTTAATAAATTTGTTTGCAAAGATGTATTCTCGCCATTTATATCATTAACTTCACTAATCTGTTTTTTGTATGAATGATTCATGTAATATATATGTGTGTGTATGTGTGTGTATTAGATAAGAAAAATAGAATAAAAAGACAATACTCACCAAAGGCAATATTTTCTTTCATGTTGGCACGTTGTAGAACTTCTTTCAACACAGGATACACTGTTAAGCTAAAACTGGGATAGAAAAAAAAAATTAACAGTATTTTGGTACCAAGGCAATGTACCAAAAGGCAGCAGGTCGGAGATCATATAACTACTGACTGCCATGGTGTACACCGTTAAAACATATTTATGTTACAAGGTAACATTTTTACAGAAAATCAATCCTTTATAAACATTGTCAATGTTTTTCTTGCATGTTCATGAAAACATTTGAAAACAAATTTGGTTTGCTTTTTGAGATATGAAACTGTCAATACATTTTAGTCTATTCAAACAACTGTTCTCATGTTTGTTTATGACACGTTATTACAGAAACATAATTCCAAACAAAATTATCAAAAAAGGTACAAACCCATCATGATAAGCAAACACTAAAAATCATGTGACATGCCACTTAATATCTTTCGTGATTGCTGTGTAGTGAATATTGGTTAAAAAGTGTAGCATTCACCTCACGGGCCTGAGTTCAATCCTTGGAATCTTCTTTATTGTCCCATTGCCTTTTTGAACATAGAAGATTATTGCTCTCCACAACTTTCTATCCTTTTTCACTCTAAGAGACATTTGTCCCCTTAATATCCCTACCAGTCTCTGCTCTGACATCCATTTTCATAAATCCTTTAATTAGGTTGTTCACTGTTTCCCTTTGCCCATCTTGCCTTCTTCTCTTCTTGTCTTGTAATGGCATTCACCCGGGGTGGGTTGAGCCGGCTCCAATATTGGAGTTTCATGGGAATTTGGAATTCACAAGTGGTCCCCAAACCCGCATGTATAGCACATGAGATTTGATTATAGTGGTGAAGGTTTCGTGCAGGACCATCCACACTTTTTGAAGGGCCGATTACAAAGACCTGGTGCACTATGTGCCACAAGGTCCCCAAATGATCCTCCACAGGTTTTGAATTCAGAGTTTTCCTTCTCCTAGACTAGTTGCCATCCAAGGCTATAGAACCCAGTCTGTCCTGCTATTTACCCATAGCTGGAGGGAGAAGAAGAGGATTCATACCTTTCCCAAGGGTATTAGCACATAAGTGAATGTAATGGATTCGACTGGAATTCGAACTCGGCTCTCCGATTCCTCAATCCAAGCCGCTATCCATTACTCCACCATGCTTTCAATATGTACTGTGAGTGCTGAATTCTCTAAACCCAACTTTCTCCTTATGTGTCTCAGAAGTGTAAATGTCATTTTTTTTTGTTTCCATTTTCTTTAACGCTTCTTCATTGCCCACATGTTCTGTCAATGATATTCATAATATCCACCTTTAGAACCACATTACTTCAAGTCTCACTTTTATCTGTGAGGAAATTGTCCAGCATTCACTGTCATATAGAAGGATGTATGTTACATAACAGTTCAGCACTCTGTTTCCAACAAAATTTTCCTTTTTCTTAATACTTTGTTTTGCCTCTGGCACATGCTGAGGAAGTATCAAAAACATTAAGACCTCAGCCCAGAGAGCCTTCTCCACAGACAGTAGCTCTCCTTCAGGAGGAGGCTGGGTTTATTGCCTGATTCCTGGTACCTGAGGTATCCCCAAAAAGGGAAGTGCCAATGGGGCTTGGCCAATGTTTCTAAGGTATTGCCATTAAGCACACTTTAAATCTCGACCTTGTGTCACATTTGGTAGTGATGTGGGTGCACTGAAAAATAAACACTTTGTTTTGCTTCTGAAAGGAATCTTCTACTATTCCCATTTATCTTTGAATCTGTATTACATGTTTCCATGGCTCTTACTACACTACCCAAATAAGTTAAATTTTTGTACTTACTTGATTTTGACATCTTGAGATTGTCCTATACATTCTGTTTTTTTATAGCAATCCTGTTGACAAAACTAATATCTAACAAATAAAAAGAATCGATGGCCAGCTAACTAGAGGTGGTGTCTCAATAAAGTCACTGTGGAGAAGACAATGTAAGACAATTCCACTATTCTTCCTAAGACAAATCATATCTATAGAGACAAAATAAAATCTATGGATTAAATAGTTACCTTCATATACTCCAGTTCAGTAGGAATTAACAAGAAACAGTAGTATAGGGACAATAATCAACCTATATCAAAGATATCCCTCAGCAGCTAAAAATTATGGATATATCAAGATAGTCAGAGAGTACTTGGCTAAAATGTTGTGTCTGTCATAATACCTGTAACAACCAAAATATGAGAACAATGGTGTGAATAATCAAAAAATATACACTTATTTTGTAAAAGCCTTCTCATGGGTAAAATTCCATTTATTTCTGAAACAAGCATTTCGGCCAATCTATTACAAAAGCAATTCTAACTTACTTTTTGTCATCAGCGCCAAGAAGTGTGAGCAACCGCAGTAAGGAAATTTGCATCCACGGGTTAGGGATAGAATGGTAATCATAGTCTGGTGGAAGCTTCCGTTTCAAGATCTGTTGTAAGATGTTCAGGAATGGAGTTCCGAGATTCTTGTACTGAGATGGATTTTCCTGGAAGAAAAAAAAAAAAAAAATTTAACCTGCCAGTCAAAATTACATTCTTTCATAAATTAAAAAAATGTTGGTGATTTTTTTTTAACATAATGCAGAAATTATTCAATAGTTAACAAGATCATTTAATGGTTCACTTTGCTAACATAACCAGTTAGAGTTTTACAGGTGTCTCGCTGATATAGGCTTGTGCCAAATAGGTGATAATGGCTCTCCAGTTTTGTCTTTTGCTGTCTTCTAGAATAAGTAACAGTTTATCAATAACCAGATGATTAAAATCTTCTGTTTTTTTTTTTGTTTGTTTCTTTTTTTAACTAAATGGCACCAAGAATGTTTTGTATAATATTAAATATCTTGTCAGTTGCTCCATGGCAACTACCATTTTCGCTGTGTTCATCATCATCTATGAATTGTCTTGAAGAATTATCTGAGTAAAAAAAACTTGCAAAAATATTGTGAATTCTTTTTTTTTTTTTCAAAAGTATATGCAAAAATTACTGTCTGGATTTTAGGGATGAGATGTTAACATTATTCATGTTTGGACTAACATTGTTATCTTTGTTGTTATGCTAGACATGTAAATAACAAATCTGCTTCTAATAGGACTTGAACTTGCATCCCTTTACTTTGGAAACTTGTGTCAAATAGAAACTAGCCAGCAGAAAAAAAATCTGAGAAAAGACTGTTCAAAAGGGCTACAATAGAAGCAAACTGATTTTAATCAAAATTAAATTCTTGAAAGTCTACTTTACATAAAAATATACATTTTAATATTTTTTCTTTTGTGCTATTATAAGTTGTAGTGCAGTGGAATTTAAAAGACTAGAAAAAAATGTTTAATTTTTGTGGATGAAAAGTGACATTGACGTTAATAGTGGAAAACCATTTAGAGAATGAAATTAAGCCTTTTAGGTTTCATTCTTTGTCTTCATTAAGATAGAACTCGATAAAATTACATAAAGCATGTCTTCTTCAGGCACATATTTCATTAAAGAAGTTGGTTTCTATATCACCTCTTAGCACCAAATTCCTTTGCTCTATATTCCAACAATTAGATTTAAGACAGATATTTGGTAAATTGGCAATCATTGACCATCCATGACTTTTCAAACATGAAAGAATAGTATTTACTTGATTCCCACAAGATCAAGATGTGACACAAGGTCGATTAACGTGGGAGACCCGAGTGTTTCCACTCAAAGGCCACATGAAAGAATACATCAAACATGAAAGAATACATCATAATATTTTTCTTTTTCTGTTTTTTTTTATTGATCCAGCCTTTTAGTAGAGGTTCCAGTCAGGGTCAATCCATACATCTGGAGGGGCAATTTGTTACCCATAGCAGAGCATGCATACATACATACAAATAAGAATCAGCCAATTGAAGGAGAAAAAAAAAAAATTCAATATTTCCTCACAGTTGCTGACTGTAAACAAACTGTCTAACCAGAATCACAACTCAGTCACCTAATGAGCTGTGGAAAAATTGGTGATGGTTAAGTGTAACAGACACAATTCTCAACAAGTGGAATTGATAAAGTTCTCAATAAACAACAAAAAGAGTGTTTCCCCTCACTCAGGTCAGAAAAAATAGTACAAGATAAACAATATATGCACATGTAAGCAAAGCAAAGGAACTATAAGACGGATTTGAAACAAAAAATTCCCAAAGTGAGTCATTCTGTGTCAAATCAACAAAGGTCTGACCATCACTGACACAGATTTTTTTCAAATTTAGTACACTGATAGAGCTTCATGATAGAAATTGAATGGTGCCTATTTTACATCTCTAGGTCAAAGGGTTCCTGAGATATGACCATTGCCAAAAAGGTGAATTTTGGAAAATAGTCACAAAGTTTAAATATCAATATCTCAGTTGTTTTTTCACCCACAAAGCTAACTTATATAGCATTTTAAAGTACTTGGATAGGTCTAAAAGTTGATCTATTTATTCTTTTGCTTAAAGATCGAATAACATAATTTGACCTTGACCTTAATCCTTAATTTCTCAAAAAGCATATCTTTAATCTTTTTTGAATTTGACAACAAATTTGTCTGCCTTATGACAAGATATGTACAAAATTGTGCAGTGGACTTTTGACTGTGACTTGAGTTACAAGGGTTTTAAGGAGTTGTGTGACGAAAGACATGACTTACCTCAGAATTCGAAACAAGCACGAACGTGTCTTGCTTGCAAAGTGATGACAAAAAGAAATATGGCTGCTATTGAAGACGCAATTTATGTGCGCCAATCTCGTCCAAAATGAGATGATATTTGCACATATGAAAATTTTGGCCGTATTAGAACATCATAAAAAGCCGGGTGCCAAGCGCATGGGGGAATCAGGAGTCATTCGGTGTAATGGCTGAGAAAGAATGTCATGCAATCCATTTCCTTGAGGCGACCAAAGAAGAAAGAGTAGCTGGCCTGCTGGCGAGTACTGCACTTTTTGACTCCTGCTCATCGCCATTGTTTTTCCTACAAGTTGGGCCAAATTCAAAATGGCAGATTTGCTATTTACCACTATATGCTAACATTTTCATATCTCCCAATATAATCAAGTTGTAGATCTTTAGAAAGCTCTTTGAATGCTGATTAATATTCACATAAGAACTATGATCAGAAAAATCAAGAGAATCTGTGTTATTTGTGGCTAAATATTGACCAATTTGTTGGAAAATAAACAAGCTTATTTTTGGTTTTGTTTACATTTTTATTATACAACAAATAGATTTTTTTAATGAAAATAATTATTTAAAAAATGTGTCATAAATTAATGTTAAGATAACATAAAAAAAATATGAAAATATACAACAACTAATAAATTTTTGTTGACATTTGACATGGTACACTAAATAAATGTACAAAACAACTAATTTTATTTTGTTTTTGGTTTTATATATATGATTAAGATTAGCAGTTACAAGCAAACTCATTGTTCCTACAACTGTATGATTCTGTCTAATGTCTAAACTATGATTACTTTATTTCATTTTAACTTTTTCGTAAGTCAAAATATGCGCTGGTCATAAAAGCAATAAAAATCTTTATTAAGTCAGCATGAAAAAAAAAACTGACCTCAACATGACTTTCAATTGGCAAATATTAACATGGTCCACAGAAACAAATCACTTACTCTCTAGACTTTAAAGATATTGGTGGCCTTTCATACTAGTTGCGATTCTTCACCAGTATAGGAAAACCAAAACAGTTGTCATAAGTAATTTTTAATTTCATATCTAGTTTTTTAAAATTACGGTGGTCTAATGACACAAAATAATTATTACTGAAAAATCATTTGTCGCATATTTTCATATTATTCTATCTTAACATTAATTCATGCTACCTTTTTAAATAATTCCCTTTCAGTTGGTTGGTTGATTTTGTTTAGCGGCATATCAACCTCTATGGATTATTTAATGCCAAAATCTAAATATTTTGAACAGAATTTTATGGCTTTAACTACAGATAAAGTTTATTGTTGGTTATTTTGCTATAAAATGTATTGTTGGTAATTCTTTAAAATTGTAATGTTGGTAATATTTTTATAAAAATGTGTATTTTATACATTCAGAGTGTTTCGTTTTTGTTTGGGGGGTTAATTATTTGCCCATAATGGAGACCCTAACAGATGCTACCACCTAGCCTAATTTTCAGAACCCTATTAATAATGAATACAAAAAAAACACATTTTGTTGACCCCATTGGAAGATTTCTTTGTATGGGGTTTCATAAAAACAAATGTTTATCACCATAGACTAATAGTTTAGCTTAAAGAATGCATTAAATAAGCAGTGCAGAAGATAACTCCTGAAATGCTTCAAAATGTGTCTTGCCATGGAAAGGTTAGGTTGGAAATTTGCAGGGATACAGATGAGGCATATGTTGAAAATTTTCAATAAAGTTTTAACCTAAAATTTATAAATCTATTTGTTTTGTATCAAGTCATACGCTGACCGTAATGAAATTGGTGAGGTACAATTTATAAGGTTTGATTACCAAACAAGGCTGTATATTATGCATTTGTAGAAGCATTTTCCTACACTTTCAGCACAATTTTAGGGGTGCCTATTATGGATGAAGGCGTATTATACATGGGGAATTACGGTAATTTTTTAAGACTTTTTTTTTCATGTTAAGAAAATGGGGAAACAACTCAGTTAAACAGTTAACAAACCTATAATTATCTCCCTCTAATAGGTATTTTTTTTTATATTGCTTTTTTTGTTGTTGCTTCTATCTATTTATACTGGGGTTCTTGATATTTTCTGGCAGCACTTTTTATATATTTGAGGTGAGGCACCCATGTTAAAACTGCACTGGTAAATGGAGCAGAGTTAATGTCATGTCTTTACATAGAGCAACCCCAATCACCAGAAGTGAGCTCTGTGTGAAAATCACCAAGTGACTATCACTGGGTCAGACCGTAGAAACTGCCAGACTTTAGTTTGTAGGTTTTTGCTACATACAAATATTGTAATTGCAACTAAATATCTAAAATACATTTAATGTATAAATACAAATAGGCAAACATTCACTGAGACAAAAGTTGTCCAAAAAGCAGATTGGTTGGTTGATATTTGTTTTATATAATCTCAAGAAGATTGTTTTCAAAAGAGTCATCAACTCTCCAGATGATATATATATATATATATATATATATATATATATATATATATATATATGTGACAAAGGCAGGAATAATTTGCAAATATATTGCAAAAAAAGACAACTTACCTTGATAAGCATATGATACAAATTAAGAGAAACACTGACAACACTTGGATCTTTGTCACAGAGGGCTTCACTAAATTTCTTGGGAACTTGGGGCACTAAATCTGGGTTCTTACGCCAAATATTAAATAATGCTGCTACAGCTTTTTTTCTTACAGAGGGCCTGTAAATAAAATAAAGGAAAACATTTCCAAAATATAAAGACAAACAAGTCAGAATGAATGGTCAAAGAGAAAATTTTTCAAAATGGATTTATTTTCTGAAAAACAAAGGATAGAGTCTTGTGTATTTACATCATTCAGACTGTTGTCCTTGTCGTTATTGCCATATTCCTAACATTTCAGCTGTTGTACACTCCAGTCTTCTTCAGGTCATATATGTTAGAATTTTGAACCAAACCCTTTATTTAGTCAATGGGAATAGATTGTTCTAACTCCACATGCCATGCCTTTTTTGGATATCTCAGTTTCAGTTAATTCCTTATAGTAACTCAACTCTTGAAATTTTTGTTCCCGCTGCTGTGGCCAGAATTCTTTGGGTCAAGTCACAGAGTCGCATGTGTTCTGCTACTGGTCATGCCAGATTGTGTGCTTTCTCCTAGAAAATCGACCAGTTAAGCTTGGCTGAGTATATGATGAAAAAAATACAAATTTGCCTGAGCAGGCGTCTGCAACTGGGATTAGCTCTCCTAAAGAGTACCAGATTGTGTAAACCAAGATCTACCAAAACGTTGTGAATATAGCAATGTAGTTGAGGATAACAGTCTGAGTAATGTAAATAATGCAACTAGAGACATCAGTCTAGAAATCTCTCTACCTAGCAATGCCATCTCATTAGAACACTGGCTTCATACACAGCTATGAAACCCATTCGGGTCCACTGTGCTAGATGGCCGCTGACCCTACAAAGTTCATCTGTTCTTTTGACAGCTCTTTTTTTAATCCTGCTGGATATCTAGCAACTCTTGTCACAAGAAAAACCTAGTGGAGGAACCAGTTTAGTTACTGAGGACCCAACCATGTACCAAGTAGAGTCATTTTTTTTATTATCATTTCACCACAAGTAAGGCAATAATGCCACTAAGATGCAAGGAGTTACTGAGAGTGAAAGGAAATGAGAAATTGTTAGAGAGGGGAAAGGACAATAAAAGAAATGAATTCAGGAAGGCAATAGATGGCAATTGATAATGCATTTAAATTTTTGAAGATCACATCATTCCACAGGTGAGAAGTGCAAGAAAAAAAACTATCAAAATAGAACTTATGGTAACATCAAGCTACTTCAACATTAAAATGATGAAACCTAGTTGCCAATTTAGTAGTTTACTTATATTCATGTGTTAGCAATACCAAGGAGTAGGGCTCATTAAAACAACTGCTACAGCGGAGGTAAAGTGATTGAGCCACGGCGGAGGTAAAGTGATTGAGCCACGGCGGAGGTAAAGTGATTGAGCCACGGCGGAGGTAAAGTGCTCGAGCCACGGCGGAGGTAAAGTGCTCGAGCCACGGCGGAGGTAAAGTGATCAAGCCACAGCAGAGGTAAAGTGATTGAGCCACGGCAGAGGTAAAGTGATTGAGGTCAAGATGTCAGATTTGGACCATTAATATTAAAGACACTTCTTTGTCTTCTTCATTCCTGTTTTTTTATTGTTCTTACTCCTGAATAATCAGAAATGTGAAATTCACCCACACAGGGAAGTTCCCAACTAACATCCAGTTGGCAGACATATTTATTTACAGCCTGATTTATTTTTGTCTGCCAACTGGATGTTAGTTGGGAACTTCCCTGTGTGGGTGAATATCACATTTCTGATTATTCAGGAGTAAGAACAATAAAAAAAACATACTGTATTACTGTATTTACTTATGCGTCTTCACACAGGCAGCTGGTCAGAGCTGGTCCAAGCTAGTCATAGTTGTGATACTACCAGCGCAGGGATGGACCCCTGTGACCAGTAATTATGAGATGGCATATACCACTTGAGAGAGCAAGTTACACTGTATTTACTTGACCCCCGACTGAATCAGGTTGTGATACAAGATCAGTTTTTAACTTGGTGACCTGAGTGTTTTCGCTCGAGCCACTGGTCTTAGCTTGTCCAAGCTGGTTAGAGCTGGTCTAAGCTAGTCATAGCTGGTCAGACCCGGTTCAAGCCAGTCGTAGCCATGATACCACCAGCACAGGGATAGATCCCTGTGACCAGTAAGTAGATGTGTATACCACTCAAGAGAGCAAGTTACACAGACTCCCATCCATGGCTGAATCGTGGATATTTATTGATCACAGTATCCCCACCAAAGACAGCAGCCAATCAGAACCTAGAGAATAGACTTGCCCAAGTAGCAGAATGGAACATCCTAGCCTGTTATATAAACCACTAACCACCTTGTCCAAACAGGCATTCAGAGCAACTTGACGTGGTGTAATGGTTCGCAAGCTTGTCACACTAAATCTATTACCGCTGAATAACAAGTTCGATCCTCACTGGGTGCACCAAACTTTCGGCATTATGCCACGTCTAAGCTACGCTTAGAAAATCTATCCTCGGTTGTATAGTGGTGAGTATCCTCGCCTGTCACGTGGGAGACTGGGGTTCAATTCCCAGTCGGGGAGCCTCTTTATTATGCACCTAGAGGTGGTGTAATGGTTAGCAAGCTTGTCTCGCTAAAACAATTACGACTGAGTTGTGAGTTCGATTCTCACTGGGTGTCCCTACTTTTGGCCTTGTGCCACATCTAAGCATCTAAGCTACGCTTAGATAAACACCAGCGCGTAAATTACTATAAGTAATTTATGCACATTACTTATCATCTCTCAGTTGCATCTCTGTCCTTGGACAGAGTGATCTCAGGGGCTTCTCTGTCAAAGGACAGAGGGGCAACAGGGAAAATTATACTAAAGAGGTGCCCAGTCCTGGGGAACAGCTGCCTGAGGCTGCGCCCTCCCATTGCACAAGAGGGAGGGATCAGTGCTCGCACGGAGGCCAAGCGCATAATCGACGGTTGTAGGGGCTGAGGGAATTTTGTCCCTGCCGAGTGTCTGTATTTCGGGTCGCCACATTAATCCGACCTTGTGTCACATTTCATTCTCGTGGGGAATGAGTAAACACCACATTCAGAGCAGGCTCAACTTCCAATACAGTTGACTATTGTCTGTTTCTCAAACTAAATTCTACAACTCCTTAATCTTTTCTTTTTCTCATATTCTTTCACAATCAATAACCCCTTGCGTCTTAGCGGCTTTATTGTTTTTGCTTGTGAAATGACTAAAAAAAAAAAAAAAAAAAAAAAAAAAAAAAATGTCAAGAATATCTAAATATATAGCAGGAGGTCCAGACAGCAATATTCGATGAATGGTAGATTTATAAACATGCAAGATGGATTCTGTTAGGAAAAATTGTCTAGCAGAAACATTTTACTTTTTGCAATATTTTATCAAATGTTGCCCACACCCATGAAAATACATTACCAGTTATGAATCCCTTATCTTCCGAATGTGGTGAGGGGGTTACGCACATTAATTAATTATAACCTTTCAAGATGGTGAATAATTTTCAAACCGCGAGTTGAATAAGCAAGGGAGATAACTGTAAATCTTACCTGGAATGAATGAGTTTCTCTTCAACTACGGGAAGCACTAATGGAATCATTTCTGTGTTGGCCAGGCGACTGACTGCAGACAAAGCAATACAGTTGTCAAGAATATTAGTGCTTCTCAGATCCTAGGGTCAAGAACAAGAAAAAAAAAAAGACAAGGAAATTAATTTTTAGATAAATAGTGGTAGGTCATCGTTTGGAATGAAATTGTTTTCTTTTTCTTTTTTTTTTTTTTTGGAGAGATAGTGAAGTTGCTTTTCCCTGGTTTTCCTTCTTTTAGACTAATTGCTGCCCAAGGTTACAAAGACTAATCTCCTTTGTTGGACTGAGAAGAAATTGAGTCATCCCTTTCCCCAAGAGAGTTAATGCAAAACTAAATACAGCAGACTACCCAGAATTTGAACTGGGTTTGCCAATTTCATTCTTCACCCAATAACCATTACACCAGCCATACATCAGATAAGCAAACAAAGAAAAAGTACAATAAAAAAAATAAATTAGTTAATCTACTAAACAAAGTGTGGTCAGAGTATCGATGTGTAAAGTATAATCTGCAAACCAAGTTCAAATTCTAGGATAGTCTGTTGCATTCATTTTCACACTATTAGCCTTAGAAAATCATGAATCCATCAACTCCCTCCCTAGCTATGGGTTAAATACCAGAGTTGACAGTGTTTTCAAGAACTGGATGGCAACCAATTTAAGAAAAGGAAAACTCTGAATTTAAACTAGGTACCTTCAATAATTCGCTAAAAAATCAGTATAGCATAATGATAAAATGTCACAAATTTAATAAAAACAAAGTTTCATCATTAAAATGTGTGACACCCACTGGTGGTTGCAGTGCCAATATGTGACGTCCTCTGGTCGCGACGCCAATATGTGACACTGCGCTGTTGGCCCGTGGTCAACTCCCGATTGTGGCACGAAGCTGTAAGGTTTCTTCCACCAGTGTTTTGGGATTGACTCTTTGTCGCTGCCACCAGCCTGTGTCCCGGTCGATCTGGTCATTCCTGGTTTGATACCAGCTTTGTCGTTCCCAGCTCACTTCCAACGTCTGGTTACCGAAGTAACTACTTTGATCTCAAGTGTAACCTACCCACGTTGTGACTTTGATCTTAGGTAGACAAAATCAATCAGGCATCAGGCCGCAGTGCAAGCTGAATCCGGGGTGAAGGTGATATCGCACAAGCGTAAGTAAAAGATGCAATAAAACAAACTCAAGAGGTTCAAATATGTTGAGAAATAACAAATTATCTTTATCAGTCTGTTATATACAGGAGTGTGTTTCTCTCCCAGCACGTTTCTATGGATTTGTGATACTTTTGCATTTCTTAAGCAAGTTTTGGTATCTTAAGTTGTTCGTCAATATAACTTGCTTTTAGTAGGAAGTCAAAGTCAAAAAGGACGTGGAATCTCGGCCAGCTTCTACTAGGAAATGGTCTGACTGCAACTGCGAATCAACTGCTGGAACTCCGAAACTACCCGGGGACGTTCGTTGATATGGGCACCAGCCAAAACCCAGTGTGGGGCCTGACATGGCTTGGGTTCCCAGTAATTCTCAATTCCCAGCAAGAATTCTCTTTGTTCTTAGGCCAGGAAAATTAATTACTTCCCATTTTTGGAAGATTAATCACTTTCCATTTCAGGGGTTTCTCCCTCGTCTATGAGGGAAGGTCAAAGGAGAGTTATCCTCCTAGACACCCTCTCTCATATTGGTATCTCATACCAATCCCCTCAGTGGGTGTTAACAACTTCTCCATCTTTCTCATAATTCACCTCCGCCTATCACCCATGCAACTACTTGACCAATGATCTCTCGGCAGTGTGGGTGGGGCTAGACTGGCCCTCTTAAAATTATTATCCAGAATTTTGTTTACAAAATCCTTATTTTTTTGCTTTTTTTTCTATGGCCAAAATATTTTTTTTACAAACCACAGATTGCCAAATAATTCTTATCATATCTTTCTTTTGGGGATATCCAAAATTCACTTAATCAGGTCTCTCTACCAACTCATCAATCACTGTCAAAACCCAATACCTGGTTATTTTCTGCTAAGTCAACTTTTAGCTTCGAGGTCCGTATTTTACTTGAGAATCAAATTCTTTATTTTTCTCATGCCTTAAAATCCTCTTATCCCCAAATACCCATTTTTGACGATGCTGTGTCTGACATCAACAGTTTGAATAAGCAATAATAATACGATTTTCTTCCTCATGCCAGAATTCTTACTCACACCAGATGGTTCCCCTTGGTGGACCCAGGAATTAAAATTAAATGATATCTCTGAAAGATAACTAATATCGATTCTCTCTGCCTGTACCACGGTGGTCTCAAGCCGAAATTTTTTTATGGCCGCCATGTATCGGTTGGCTTTGTTTTTCTTTCTGAATTCTTTTTCTCTTGGCGCATTACTCCCTTATCATGACATTAATCAGTTTTGACAGAATCTCATATCTCGCTTTTTCTTACAGATTTTCTGTCTTGTGGGAAAAGTATCTTTCTTCGTAAATAAAATAAAATAAAATCTTCTTTTTCATGCTGTTCAGTCTATCTTTTGATGTAGCTCTTTCTTGCCTTAAGTCTTTCCTGTTTTTAATTTCTATGGTTCATTAGTTAGCCAATTATCATAGTGTCACAATGTTTAGGTTATTATTAAGAGGAAAGAACAAAGTATTTTTTAAATATTTTTAAAAATATTTTCCTTCTTTCTAAAACGTTCTAAATTTGGGTCAAAATCCCTTTGTAATACTTGTGATCATCCTCATTTTTTTAGTGTAGCAGTTTCAGGGGGAAAACCCATTAATTTGGAAATTCTTGCAAAAATCAAATAATTGTCTGATTTTAATTAAACTTTCAGGACTTATTCAAAAATGAATAAATTTAGTTTTGAAATTTTTTATTTTTAGAAAATCTTGGTAAAGATATTTTTTTTTACATCTGTTACCCTCCCCATAAATTAATTTTATGAAATTTTCTAGAATTTCAAATAGTTCGCAAATTGCTTTATATTACTTATAAGCAGGACTCCTTGGAAAAATTAAATCATCAATTTTTTTTTCACAACTACTGCCAACTTTTTGAAAATCTGCTCCAAATCGTAAAATAAAAACTGCAATAAACTATCTAATTATCAAATTAGATAGGCTTTTTGTTTGCTTTTATAAATAATATACATTAAGGACATTATTATCTGAAAAAAAAGTTTGATGAATAAAGAAATTTTACAAGAATTGTTTGCATTTTTCTTTTAGTTTTTTTTTTCATTTTATTTAATTTTAAAAAATGTTTTAAAATTCTTCCAAGCAGAATGCAGGGTAGGTTATTAAGTTTTTAAGTGAAGACTATATTTACTAAGTGAAAATTAAAAGCTTAATACAAGTAATGCTACCAAAACTTTTTACCATAATTAAAAGTATTTTTTTTTTGTGCATCAAAATGTTATATTTTTTTTTAGTATGATAACTCATAAGTGACATTATGGTTAAAAGGTCACATATTTCAAAGCTTGTCTCCTCCTTGGAGAAAGGCCCTTAACATGTAAAGGTCTTATCTCACTCTCAGTTATTAAATTAAAAATTAAATTGAGACAATAAAATTATCTCATTTATCAATTTAAACAATTAAAAACTCAGTGACATATTTTAATTATTAATATAATAATAATTTTATTAATTATTACCTCAGTTATTAAATTAAAAATGTAATAACTTAATGTAATATTAATAATTAATAAAATTAATTATCATTATCTTAACTATTAAATAATGAAAGAGATAGAGGTGACTCAATAATGTAAGAAATTTTTATAGCATTTTAAATTATTATAAGAAACAAAAAAACCTCAGTTATGTCACTTTTGATGCACTGTACTAAACCTGTCAACACATTCAGCCATCAAATTATCAATGAATACGTAAAAATAACAAGACCCCGAGGTCAAGAAATGTTTGTCTAGAAAATTTTATGCTGTAAGTGATTTGATATTTGTTTCAGAACAGATTAATTTAACTTTAAATTTGCTAATTTTATGAAAGTAATGTTTCAGAAATGTATATCTTATTTTAGTGGGATTTTCAAAACTGAAAAATAAGTTTGTTTACATTTTTTTAAAAAAAAGTTAAAAATGGCTGTTTTGATTGGTTTCTCAGAAGCATCGACTAAAATTCATTCAAATTTCTATTTGAAATACCCTGCAGTATTTTTTTTCTGGAATTAGAAAATTTAATCCTTTAGCTTTCAATTGAAGTGGTCGGAAAGCTTTGAAAAGGATTTTTCCTTTATGAAAAATACATTTGTACCTTAGGTATACGAATTTTTGGAGGTACCTAATTTAAACTGTGGAAAAGGTAAAAGGAAACCACTCCACTATGCTTCCCAAAAATATATGGTAATTCTCAGATAATAAAGAAAAGGGATCTGTGGAAAACAAAACAATGAGAAGCCACTCCACTATCTTTCCCAAGAATTCACAGATATTGACAGATAACAAAGAAAAGGAATCTGTGGAGAAAACAAAAGGAAGCCATTCCACTATCTTTAATAAGAATTACATAGCAATTCACAGATAATCTGTAGTGAACTGAAGGAACATTGCATAAAAATGAACAATATTAACAGGCAAGTCCTACTTCCTTTGGAGAAACTAGTGCTACACAAACTTTCAAAATTAAGAATTATTACATTAATGTCCTTGTAAAATCTCAAATATGGTGGTGGTATGAAGAACTATATCAACATCTGGAGAGAAAGACACCTATATCATATCTGTGCATGGTCAAGAAAAATTCTTGTCCATGCAGTTACAAAGTTTCAATAAATCAATGTACAATATTTTTACATCTACTCTTGATTCTCACAAAAACATGATCAACAAGACACATAGCCCAGTGGATAAAAGCATTGGTTGAAATAATCTGGTGATTTGACCCAAAAGAGTTGTGAGTTCAATACCTGGCCACACAGCAGAAGTGAAAAAAAACTTTGAAAGTTCAGTTAGGAAAGGAAGTTACAAACTAAAACTGAGATATATAGAAGAGGCATGGTACGTGAACTAGAACAATCTAACCTGGTGGATGAAATAAAAGGTTCCGTTTGAAAACCCAATCACCAAATGAAGGCTGGAGTGTACAACAGCCGAAACATTGTGAATATGACAACAAAGATTAGGACAACAGTTCAAACAATGTAAATAGTTACAATACCTCATCTCAGAAATAAAGAGAGATAATGATCAACAAAAATTTAATTTTTATAAAGTCTTTTTCAGAAAGGTTTAGCCCAAATTCATCTATAAGCGCTATTCTACAATATAATAGCAAGGAATTCCAGATGAAAAATAAATTTTTCTTATACTTCATAATCATATAGTTTAAACTAAATTTTGGTATCAGCTTATTATCCTTTGGTATCTATCTATAGATAATTAGTCTGTCCATCACACCCTCTAAAATAGCCATACACTGATCGATCAAAATCAAATTTTGGGGGAGAAGTGCAAACAAATAAGGGTGTACAAAGTAAAGTTGATTTTACTAGGGTGCATAGCTTAGTACAATAAATTTTAATTCATTTTTTTGGAAAAATTAAAAGTTTTATTTTTTCATAATTATTAATTATTTAACATACAAAATACTCTATTTTAAAAACAATTTAATGATTAAAATAACAAATACTTATTTAATAAAAATTCAATAGTTTTTTTGCATATCTTTTCTTTGAGGTTTTATATATACAAGAATCCAGTTTCCACTTCACTGTGATTGTGAAAAAAAAAACAAATCACAAAGCCAAAGGCTTCAAAATGTTAGAATTTGGCTCCAGAAAGAAATATTTATATATGGCCAGTAGTATGTTGCATGCTCAAGAGTAAGAAATCCTAAGAATTTATTCTTTGCTGTTAAAAAGGAAAAAAATAAATTTTCTTAAAAACATATTGTTTACCATGGAGTCTTATAAGATTAAATTAAAGAAATTATTAAACTGCAAAGTTGGGTTTTTGTCTAAGTATTTTTCCAAACAAATCAGCTTATTCAAATTTCATTAATTGGTTTGCAAAATTGAACGAAAGAGTTTGTAAATCTTGACAAAAATGTTAGTGACAGCTTTAACAATACTAAATACTGTGAGTATAATAAAACTAAAAATGATTTAAGCAGAAATAGACGGTCAAACGGGGACGTGTAGGTTCCAATCATTTACACATACCAAATGTGCAATGATTTTTGAAGCAAAATTTTAGAGAAAGAAGAATACATGTGACAAGACAGACTTCTTTCTTTTTTGCTTTTTTACCATGAGTAGGGTGTTAATTTTACCTTGAGTATGGTATTAATCAGTAGAACAACCAGTTCATGGTCTTCATGTAACAAAATACCAGATGAGAGGTAACCTGAAATAAAACGATAAAATCCTCAATCAGAAATTCAAAAACACAATTAAAAAAAGAAAAAAGAAAGAAAGGAAAGATATCTATAAATCTGAAAAAAGTCAACATCATTTTAAGCGTTGGAAAAATTCAAAATAAGTTACTTACCTTAACAAATACTTGAATTGAATAGAATTGAATAGTACATAAAATGTAAATAACATTATTTAATTGTTTGGACTGTTGTCCTCATCTTTATTGCCATATTCATGATGTTTTGGCTATTGTACGCTCTGGCCTTCTTCAGGTGATTGGAATTTAAAACTGAACCCTTTATTTCTTCCCCTGGGGTAGATTGTTCTATTTCAATGTTCCATGCCCGTTCTGGATGTCTCAGTTATTTCCCTTAGTAACTTAACTCTGCAAGTTTTTGTTCACCACTGCAGTAGCCAGGTATTGAACTCACAACTCTTTTGGGTGAAGTCCCTGGATTACTTCAACCAACGCTTTTATCCACTCGGCCATGTGGCCTTGAGGACATATGGCCCAGTGGATAAAAGTGTTAGTTAGATCCAACTAGAACAATCTACCCTGGTGGATGAAATAAAGGGTTCAGTTTGAAATTTCAATCACCTGAAAAAGGCTAGAGCATACATCAGCCAAAACGTCGTAAATATCATAATAAAGATCAGGACGACAAACTGAACAATGTAAATAACAATGTAAATAATTACAATACCTCATTTCAGAAATATAGACAGATATAAAATAATGTATTTAGTAACTATTCCTGTTTAATTTTACATTGTACTTTCTTTTTTCTTTCGAGCTGCTTAAGCTGCGTTTAATGTAGTTGCAGTATATACCACAGGTTGGCTGTGTGAAGGTTGAAGAAACACAAATGCTTGGAAACTTACAGCCATGCTGAAGATGAGAAATTACACCAATTTGCATTGTGGCTTCAAGTCGAAACATCTCAAATGATGAGAACACAAACATTTTCTAATAAAAGATTTCATCTTATTCTGATAAAAATTACAGAAATAATGATATACAAGAAAGAACCATGAAAATTTCACGGATTTCCTATTTGAATTTTCTTAGTTTAATGATTGCATGAGCTCGTGGTGAATGCTATGACGTTAAAATATCTGTAGAAATTTCCCTATCCCATCGTTGAATATTTGAGCGTGACAACTTTAATAAAATATTGCAATAACAGTCATAAATATAATTGCTGCTTGTTATTTTAAGAAGTAAGGGGGTACAAATGTAAAGATTTAGAATTGTCAAGAGATGTTAAACACTTCTATCTTCCCTTTTTTTCTTTCTTTTATTTTCTCTCTGATATGTTTTTTTCTGTCTTTCCACATGATCAAAACAGAACGGTCCATTATTTATGAGATATTGGCAGGGCTAACTAAGAGAGAGACAAAAGCAAAATTTTAATAGGATAAGAAGGGCTGGAATGACAGGTGAGATAAATTTATAAAATCTTGATGCAGTTAAGACCTAATTTGCATTAACCAATCAGATGTAAGTATTTTATTTTTTATTATAAACAGATTACAGCTGATTGGTTATTACAAATTAGGTTTTAAGTATTGAAAGAGAACAGCTTTTTATAATGAAAAACATACTGTTCTCTGTATCTGTCTATATTTCTGAGATGAGGTATTATGTACATTATTTGGACTATTGTTCTCATCTTTGTTGCCATATTTATTACAACGTTTCGGCCATTGTACACTCCAGCCTTCTTCAGGTGGTTGTGCCATGTGTCCTTGAGGACACATGGCACAGTGGATAAAGGTGTTAGTTAGATCCAGTGACAGGACCCAAAGAGTGTGAGTTCAATACCCGGATAAGGCAGTAGAGAACCTTCAGAGGGAAATTAACAGGAGATAACTGATAACTGACATCCATTAAACATGGCACGTGAAACTAGAACAGTCTACCTCAGTAAGCGAAATAAAGGGTTCAGTTCGACATTCCAACCACCTGAAGAAGGCTGGAGCGTACAACGGCCAAAATGTTGTAATAAATATGGCGACAAAATGAGGACAATAGTCTGAATAATGTAAATAATGTATACTGCTCTCTTTCAGTTTTCTGATTTATTACTTTGCTTATCCCTTGGTTTTACCCATTTCTTTATGATTTCCACTTGCTATTTTTTCATTCCTGATTAATTTTTATGGCTTACCAACCCTTTGTGTGTTATTTAAAGCCAAAATTTAAATTGTAAGAGTAATTTTTTTTCTTTGCAATTGAATATTACATTAACAATTTTTATTTCCAGATACAAGTCATATTATTTAATCCATAGTCAGGGGATATGCATGTAAGATTTCACAGCGCTAGCATCACTTCTTCATAGTCAGCCTATGAACTTTTCAGACCGCCACCCTCGTATAGTAATCTTTTTTTTATCCTTGCTCTTACTCCCACTTTGTTGTGTGTGTGTGTGTGTGTGTGTGTGTGTGTGTTTCTTTAAAAACCTAATAATGGCTTTGAAGTTTTAGATTTAAGAAAATCTTTTCGCCTTCAGCACTCTGAATTATTCGTGGATAATTTTTCTCATTATAAAAAGACAGAATATCAGGTTAACATTGCTATCAACATCAAAAAGTTGCTAAGTATGCTATACGAGGAAAGTAAATCTTACCTATCCATTTCATCCAGCCAGTTCCCTGCTGAGCCAATTTCACTGCATGTATGTAACCACATGATACATCATAACCTATCATGTGGCAGAAGATGAGCCGAGTCAGATAATCCCGGATTTGTTGCTAAAAAACAAAAAAAATTGAGCAAAATCAAAGCCTAGATTAGAAACTGAAAACCGTTTCAGCCAGTTTATATATATATATATATATATATATATATATAAAAACATTTTTTGTAATCATTTCACCCCAAGCAAGGCAACAGTGCCACTAGAACACAGAAGTTTACAGGGAATGAAAGCACATGAGAACATTGAAAATGGGGACGATTGAGGAAAGGACAAAAAAGGAACAGGGTTCAAGAAGACTGATGACAACTGACATTGCATTTAAATTTTTTAAAGATTTTATTTTATCAGGGAAGCAAGAAATCAGAATGGTGTTGCACAGGTGGGAAGTGTGAGAAAAAAAGAGTAGAAATGGTGGCTGCATCTTGCTAGTTGAATAGTAAAATGGTGAGACTTAGTTGCCAATCTAGTAGCATGCCTAAATTCATGTAGTCAGGGCACCATGAAGAAAAGCTTATCTAAGCAATTGCCATCAAAATATGTGTAGAACAGACAGAGGGAAACCATGTCACGTTAATGAGAAAGTTGTATTGCAGACCCTTCTGTAGATTTTTCAAGAATCTCAAGATGCAAAGTAAGAGCACCAAACCAGATATGGCAACAGGACTCAATACAGAGACGAATGGTAGCTTTATAAATGTGCAAGATGAATTCTGAAGAGAAAAAGTTTTTGGCACGACATAATGAATGAACTTTCCTTGTAGCAAACATAGCAATTGACTCAATATAGTTACTCCACTTTGTGTCAGTGGAAAACATGAAGCCAAGAAAGCATAGAGCTGGGTTTGGCAACCTGTGCCACACAGCCACAAATAACATCACAAAGTTCAAACCAATAACTACTACAACGCAAAGAAGATATTTAGCTGTTTCAATTTTAATATATACTAAAGTATATATACTATATATTACTATATAAAATATATTGTAGAACAGGTATATTGAGCTTGACTTGTATAAAAATACGTATGTTGTTGGCCCACTCAATGATTTTAAAACCATGTTGGCATATAGTTAGAAAAAGGTTGCCGACCCCTGGCATAGATTGTTGCTTTCCTGGAGTTCAGCATCAGCCATACTGATGATCAGCAGAAAAGGTTCTTGGTGGTGATTAAATGAAAGCAGTTTCCCAAGATTCAGCTTCTTTTATTTAACTAACTTATGAGGTGGCAATAATAGGAGCCACAGAAAAGTTCTCAGCTTGACTCACTTCCCAAAATATGATTAAATGATTTATTAAAAGGGGCTTCTCAATTTGGCAGAAGACTTTGCTGGATTCCTTTGAACTATGACTAATATAAACAAGCAATAAAAGAAAACAAAAGGAAAGACTAATTATGATACTAGTTAGAAATTATTAAGCGCTTACTCTTAGCGAGATTCAGACAACTATTATATCTGTTATTATTATGGGCGTAAAGAAACAAAAAAAAAATAATACAAAATGATAAACTAGTTAGAAATTATTAACCCCTTCCCTGGCATAGATGGATATGTACATTTTTACTGAAAATGTCTTTTTCCAACACAGACAAATAAACACAACCAAAATATAACATTCAAAAACCAGCTACAGATGTGTTTATACGTTGATCTTTTTATGCCCTTCTGAGATGGAAACAAATCTAATTGTCAACTCATACGCGTGGTAGAAGTGTTAGCCACCACTCGGGTACCTCAAGGTACCTCAGTTTCTTAGTTACTATATTAAAAACAAATAAAAAAAAATGAAACATTTTTCCCAAAATAATTGGAAAGGATTAATTGCTTCCTCTAAGAAAGTCAAACAATTTACAACATTTAAAGAAGTTTTTGAGGCAAAACATTTTCAAAACCACATCTAACACAAAAGACTTTTTAAAGTTCAAAATCCAGTGAATTCTGAATACATAAATACTTTGAGTAAATCCAGCAAAAATATTTATGGTTTCTCCTTGAACATTAATTTTACACAATTATATCTGTTGGCCTAGAAGATAGTGTTTTTGAATAATAATCATCATCATCACCATCCCATAGAATTTCCAAAATAGATCCATGAATTTTCCCTCACTGTTTCCAAGAAGAAAATGAGCATCAAAAAGGTCAGCTAATAATAAAATAGTTATTTAAAAAACAATGCTTTTGATAGTGCAAGAAGAATATCACAATGTCTCTGATTCTACGTACCACTGAGATGTCTGGCTGAGCAAGACGCTGCTGGATCAATGTTAGTTCTTTTTGTATGATATGCTGTTCTTTCTGAGATAAAAGCAGAAATAAAGAAAATTTAAAAGAAAAATTTATTCAAAAATTGGAAGAATACAATCAAAGAAATTAAATACACAGATTTAGTCAGTGGAATTTAACAAAACTTGTTTGATGAATTCTTGCTGCCTAAATACACATTCACTTCAGATTCTGCCAGAAGACACATTTTCTTTATTATGTCAGATTAAAAAAAATAATCCATTAATTCTTTAGAAATTGCTTTGTTTACATTTCAGATACAAAACTGAGCAGATATGTCTTTCGAGAAAATCTGAACAAGGAGATATGCTTTAAGGCAAATTGAATCTCACTTAGCTGTGTGGTTTTCCATAGCCAAGTGGTCATAAGCACGCCGAATCAAATGCTTGCGAAAGAGGATGCATGTTTGAATTTTGCCAGAAGGCACATTTTCTTTAAGTTTTCTTGAATGTGCAGAATAGGTGAAATAAACACCATTTAAAAACAGGACATTCTACACAAATATGGGTGTCCATTAAAAACAAAGTTTCATATATATATATGTGTGTGTGTGTATTTAGGCAGCAACCCTTCTTTCATGCAAGCTTCATTAAATATGACAGACAAGGTGCTTTGATTAAGTTTTCTATATAATTTCTCATATGATCTTATAAATTTTTTTCTTTTCCGTAGATAAATTATTATAACCGAAAGCACTTGGAAAAATAAAACATTTGGACAGCTTTTGTATAACTTATCTACTTAAAAGAAATAAATTATAAGATCATATGAGAAATTATAAAAACTTAAACAAAGTACCTTGTCTGTCATATTTAATGAATGCATGATAGAGTAGTGGATAGTGGCTTGAACTGAGGAATCAGAGAGCCGAGTTTGAATTCCAGTCGAATTCATTACATTCATTTACGTGCTGATGCCCTTGGGAAAGTTATTAATCTTCTTCTTCTCCCTCCAGCTATGGGTATATAGCAGGACAGACTGGGTTCTATAGCCTTGGATGGCAACTGGTCTAGGAGAAGGACAATTCTGAATTCAAAACCTGCAGAGGGTCGTTTGGGGACCTTGTGGCACGTAGTGCACCAGGTCTCTGTATTCGGCCCTTCAAAAAGTGTGGTTGGTTCTGCACAAAGCCTTCACCACTATAATCAAATCATATGTGCTGGTGTCTGGATGTTAGTTCCTAAAAACTGAGCTGCTTGACCCTTATATGTCGAATAAAACAGGACAGTCCACCATATATATATATATATATATATATATATATATAGGATTAATGTGAGTAAATGTTAGTGACTAAGCTGATTGATGTTACTTTCAGTGTCTTGACTCGAGAGTTTTGTAGGCAAAAAGGTCCATCTACTCTTCAGTGGGTATCAGTAATTTACCATAAATTGCTGATACCCACTGAAGAGTGGACAGACTGATCCATCTACAAAACTCTAGAGTTGGGATGCTAAAGGTAACATCAATGAGCTAAGTGACAAATTTTTACTCACATTAATCCTATTAATGCTCATTCTTTGATATCAAGCACTTTATTACAAAGGCTACTTGCTTTAAATGTCTTTTCTCTCAATATCCCATTGACTGTCAGCATTTTTCGCTTCATACTAGCTTTGACACCACTATAAAGTGTGTGATGGGTAAATTGTAGTCATTTCATATTTTTAATTCCACACATATGTACGTTGTTTGTTTTTGATTTTGTCAACTGCACAGTATAGTAGGGTCAGTTGGGCACTGCATCTGAGAAAAAGTGCATCATGACGCAATTCATGTCACCAGAAATTTGGCAACAGCATGCTGTACTGATTGGCATTTGTACTGAAAGTTTCAGTACGAACATTTTATAGTCTTTGGATATCAAGCTGGGGACAGTACAGGGGATTCGGAAAGAGTTGGATGAGTCTAATTATGATTACAAAGGTACAGTAGCTTGAAAAACTCACTCTAATCATTCCGATAAGAAATGAACTCCCAAATTCGTTGTTGAGGGCCTCAGACTCAACATGAAGGCTTACAAATAGTTGGAGCCAATGGCAATTTTATTGAATAAATTTACTCTTTAGTATTTAAAGATATTTTTCTATAATTTTAGTAAATATATCTGTTAAAATGAGATGTCAATGTTATTTTCATCTTTGCATTGTTTAGACAACAATTTATCCATTGTATTTATTATTTCAAGATATTTTTGTGTAATTTTGATAAATATGAGATATCAGTGTTATTTTCATTTTTGCGTTATTTTAGACGACAATTTATCCATTGTATCCTAGACACACATAAGAGAGAGAGAAAGAAATAAAAAATGCAGACACAGAATTCAACACAGCTTAACTTAAGCAATCATCTGACCATTCATGTTGGGTATCACTAAAATGCATAAATACTTTTGATAATAAAAGCAAAAAATGCTACCCCAGTTTTTAAAAATAAGGGAATTATCCAATTTAAATTAAATTTTCAGTACTTATTCATTAATGAATAAATTTTACATTGAATAGGTCATTATTTTAGAAAACTTTGTGAAAATATTGGTGGGGGGGCACTTTCTGGATTATTTGGTTGTAAAGAAGTTCAAAAAGGAAGTAATTCACTAATTCTGTATCTGCAATCAATCAATTCAATAACACTTTATCTATTTTTCCCATTTTTTATAGCACTTCCTTTTTAGTATAATAAATTTTAATTTTTGCCTGAATTTTTGGGATGAGGAGTTATTTACGCTATTTATATTAAAATGTGCCAATGTTTTAAAAATGTATAAAATTCTTATTTATTGTAAAATTATTTTTCTTTTTTTAAGGCTATAATCTTTTAAACAATAAAAAAAAAATAACTCAAAATAAATTATTTAAAATGCAGTTTTAGTTGTTTATCTTAGTAAGTCTGTTGTGGTACCTACTTCATGGTATTCTTTTTATTTATTTATTCATTATTCTTGTCACTGTGAAAGGCACAATGAAATTGGACAATAGTCCCCAGGTACACCAACATACACGACAACAACATGCACAGCATTGAATGAAAAATTTCATATGCTTAAAATTGGATTACAGCCACATCACATTGAAACATTGGTTGTCATACGATCACCAAAGTTAAGCAATGCCAATCGTGGTGAGTACCTAGATGGGTGACTGCTTGGGAATATCAAGTGTTGGAAGCTTGGATGTATTGGTGATGTTGTGGCCGACTTCACCACATTAACTTTACATTATGAAACAGGGCTGACACAGAAAAGTATAAGCAAAAGACATTGTTACACATAAAATATGTATTTAACAATATGTACAATATCAAACAACGATGTGAAAGAAAATATGTATTTAAGTAAGAAAAGGCTGAATAAAACAAGAGTTGTCTCTCTTTAACTGTTACTTGTATTTCAAAGTTCACTGAAAGAATTTATTTTTTTTTATGAGAGTCTTATAAAGACTGTTCTTAAAAGATTTGCTGTGTTAGAAAAGATTATGTGAGTGCATACAAGGTATGATCAGCATGTGAGTGGTGTGTGTGAGCGAGAAGGTTGGCGCATGGTTTCAATTGTCATTGATTCATTTGGCAGCTGAATTATCACTAATTAGCAAAGAAAAATTCTTGCTTAAATAAGTGACTATAGGCTCTAGATCACTGCATGGGAAAAGTTATTCTTTATGTGCAGACGATCTGATTGGTTAGCATCAACCAATCAGTGACTGAGCTTTGGGGAGACTTAAAAAAGCTTCTGTGATCTGTTTCTCCCAAAAGTGCACAAAACTGAGTACATGAAAATAGAGCGATTACAAAATTGTCGCATTGCTGCGATTTGTAAATTGTCTATAACAACATAGTGGTGATTAATTAACCAATGAATGATTGGCTTTGTATGTGATTTGTATTTTTGTATGTATGTATGTATGTGTGTGTGTATGTGTGTGCGTAATAGTCAGCACAATGTAATGGATAACAATGGCTCAGAATTGGAGAGCTGAGATCCAATTCTAGTTGGGTTTGTTATATTCAGTTACACGCAAATACCCTTGGAAAAGTTATGAATGTACTTCTCCCCCAGCTATGGGTTAATTAGTAAGACTTGCATCATTATTTAAAAACCATTTATTCCCACCAAAATTAAATAAAAAAAACTACATACAAAATATTTAGATTTCAAAATTAAATGACTCATTGAGGTGTTGACATGTCGCTAAAAAAAAAAAAAAAAAAAAAAAAAAAGTAACGTTGAAAATTGTCAGCCTGCAGAAGAGTTCATTTTACGTAGGGACATAGGATAAAAGCTGATAAGTGATCATCATACCTTTTTCTGTTCGATATTGATTGAGCATTCCTCCTGTATAGCAAATATGTGCGTTTGTTACGTAGTTATGCTTTTGATAGAGGTTTTGTGTAGGTTGTGTTTAATTGATTAAATTATTTATGGATCAATAATTGTTGAGTAAAGGCTGCGTGATGAAATTAACAATTTCCTCTCACATAAAAATTTCAGTATTCAAACATAAAAAGAATAAACATGAGAAACAACAGTTTTTGCACAACAATGAATAAAAATATTTATAAACAAGATTAAGTTAAACAACTGGAGTAAAGAGGTATTTTTAAAAAGTTCAAACGTCCTTTTTAGTTTTTATGTTTAGATTGAAATGTTATCAGTTTTAATTTAAATTTTAATTGTAATTTTATTTTTAAATATTGTTTTCGTTAAGAAGAAGATCCATCGTTGTTGGAGAAAATATTTTCGAATTTCTTCAATAAGTTTATTTTAAAAAAAAATAATAATGTTAAAGATTTATAAAGCAGAAAGGAAATATCGTACTTACGGCTACAGATCGTGCATAATCAACATTGCGTACAAGACTATGGAAACCTCTCGATACAAAAGCTCCATACTGGTGGCCACCACTGACCATTCCAGCCCCTGTGGCACCGCTTGGACCTGCCGTGGCGAAACCTCCAAGGAGATTTTCACTAAAGAGTCGAGGCAGAGAACTCAACGTTTTCTCCACTATATCCGACATTATTGTTGATTGATGTTTATTTGTTCATCAATAATAATGTCTAGCTTCCTTTTCTACACGAAGTCGTTGCTCAAATTCTTCAACGTGTGTGTTTACTTTCTTCTTTTTTTAATTTTAAGCTACCGTTAGGTTTTCCTTTTGGGTAGAAACATGTTGCCAAATGTCGAACATAAATGTTTTTCTTTTTTTTTTCTCCTTTTATTCATCTGAGGTCAGCCGAAAGGCGTCATTATCATTAACAACGAAACTCTACGCTTTTTGTTTTGCAAAACAACAGCAGACATGAGAAAAAAAATCAAAACAAAAACAGTGTATAAAAACTTCTTTTCGTCTTTCACTTCCGGTAAATCGGAAGTCGTGACTGTGACGACATCTGGTGATCAATGCTGACATTATACCATGTGTAGTTACTTCCCTTGCACGAAGCATTTGATAAATTTAGCTCACCAGTAGTTTGGTTTGGTTTGTTTTACGGAATTGTAGAGGCCCGTTTAATTGGTGTGACCTCTCAATTCATATTTAACGCAAAATACTACAAAATATGAAACAATAAGAATAAACACAAAAACGGTTTTATAACAACAAGATGATTTATATTTTTGTATAATGATGTATAAGCAAAGGGGTTATTTCCCTTTGACTCGAATTAAAGTCTGTACTAATGGAATCATTTTTTTTTTATCTGAGTTCATAAACTGTTAAATGAACTTGTCGGAGTTAGTTCCTCCTTAATTCCCATATTGTCACCAGAGGTCTCTCTCCCTATACTATAAATACTGCGAAACTTCTTGCCTCTTCCTCAGGCCTCGTGCCGAATTCCACCTCGCGTGGAGTTGAGGTAAGTCTCTCTATCTTCTTCATTTCAGCGACAAGATGTAAGCTCTTAGAAGATCAGCGTTTCCCAGTTCTGGAAAAACGCTATGAACATTACAAACATTCACACACAAACACAATTGTTAACTGTCTATGTGCTTTGTAATTTAATACACATATCGGTCTTGTTTGTTTGTTTCCTTTATTTTCAGTTGGGCTTAACTTGAGTCCGGCAATTTTCTTGTAGTTGGTCCTTTTAATATTCTACCAGGAGTTACACACGTGTTTTCTAATACAACAACACGTAAATACACACTGGGTCCTCTACAAACTTTCCGCTCAAAATGTTCACTTTGAGAGAGTTGAAAGAATTCTGTAAAGCTGAGAATATATTGAATAAACTTTTAGCTTTAGAAGAGTTGAAGGAGAGAATGTTCCGTAACAATTTTTATTTTTTCAGATTTCGCAAGACAAGGGGTCATGGCATTTAAATTTTAACACTGGTAAAAAGATATATATTTATGTACAGTACAATGTGTTATGCTTTCTAGATTGCTTTAACTTTGGCATTACTTCAATTACCTATGTATTAACAATTTTTTTTTTCCGAAATGAAATAAAAAAAATCGCTATTACCTGTTTTAAAATATTTGCCAAAAACGGGTAATATCCGATTTAAAATGAAATTTTCAATACTTATTTAATGAATGAATGTTTTATAAATAGTTTTTTTTTATTTATTTATAAATAAAACTTTGGGGAAAATTTTCAGTGGGACGTGATTCACCCCGATTTTTCGATATATTGCCTGTACTTTCTTTTCTAATTTTGAGGATGTTCATCCAGTTTGTTTTTTTTTTTTGTTTGTTTGTTTAGGATTTTAAAAAGAAAATACTTGAAGATATTATTTTTTAGTAAAATTCTGCCTGCATCTTATCAAAAATAATTCAATAAAACTAAAAGAATAATTTTTTTGAGAATTCATGCTAGAATAATTTTATAAAACTCGTTATTTGCTTTCAGATTGGACAGAAAGAAAAATTACACTTGGCATTTATTTTCTAAAAAAATATTTCTAATTTTTTCAGTGCAATTTTGAAATTCATTCCGTTGCAGTTCGTCACAAGAATGTCTTTAGCAACTGTTAGATGATTTTTGGTATGGATATACAGAAAGGTAATAATTCTGATATTTCGCTTTGACTGACTACTGTTCAATATCGGAAGATTATTCTAATGTCATATCTCCCATTCAGTTACTTTCTATGAGTTGAAAGAACTGTTTTCCCGTTTATCGATATGGGTGTTTTTTTTGTTTTTGTTTGTTTTTTTTTCTGTATTTATTTATACTTATTCTTGTATACAAGAATAACCAATACTCCAATAATTAAGCGTAAGTTGTTATTTTAAGATTTTATCATTTCTCAATTGATTTTTTGTCTTATTTTTTTCCTTTTCCTTATTTTTTTCCTCCATGATTTGTTCCCCTCACCACCCAGAAACTTCCAGAATTACAAGGAAACTATTTCATTTACATAAAAGAATACGTTACCGTAATTTTTCTAAAATTAAATCTTAGAATGTTTTTCTTTTTACTATTAAGCGAAGAAGGAAATAAACACCAAGACAGTCAATCATCAAATGACAAAAAAAAAAAATGATTTCTGAGTCGGAGGATTCACGCATTCTTCCGGTTAATAAATTAATTCTCCGAAAATAAATATCTAATATTTTTCAACCAACAGGTCATAGCCCCGCTAACAATAAAATAAAAAATATAAAAAAAAAAAAAATATGCTTCGTGGTCCCTTTGAAGTGTATATAAGCAAAGTTTGTAGACCAGACAAGCCAGTAAGGAGAAGGAACAGCAACAATTCGTGACGCGCATGGCTTAAATAAACAAATTCCCTTACTCATTCATCGGTCTTCCTCACCAATCTGCATGACATTTACATTTTACTCCTCACTTTCTTTCTTGCCTCTTGGGATGGCAGCGCCTGTTAGGGTCCCAGCTATGGGCAAATAGTGAACCCTAAAACACAAACAAAGCACTATGAAAGTGTAAAAATACGTTTTTATTGTAAACTTACTGGCAATACATTTTTATATAAAAGAATTACCAAGCATACATACAGTTGAAGTCATAAAATTGTGTTCAAAATAATTAGATTACGGCATTAAATAACCCATTGAGGTGTCGATATGCCGCTAAACAAAACCAACCAAAACCTTCTCTTCTTTCTCACACATATGCACGAAAAAAAGTCACATTTCTTTTCATCTTAAACAACTACAAACAAGGAACGTCTGAACTTTAACACTCATACATGCTAAGAAAAAATTAGTTGTAAAAAAAAAAATGAAAATAAAAATATTTTATACTTAAAAACCTTACTCGCTTTTTTCTTTGTAGGTTGATTCAAATCCGCAACAAATCTAAAGCAAATTACATTTACACTATATTTTATGTTTTAATACAGCCTTAGCACCTTAAAATTTATTCATTATACTAATTTTAATAAAAAGCGTATATAGAATAAAATATTATATTCTTAAACTTGTGGGACTCGGAGAACTAATGTGATGGTTTGTTAGCGTGGAGATGTGAAAATCACCAATGTAAGGCTTTACAGGTGGTTATCTTCGGATAACGTCCTTAATCCAAATATGCACCAATTTATGACCCAATTTATGATGCATGCAAAGATAATTAATACAAAGATACATATTGCATGTACTGATAAGAATTTATATCACTCAAATGGAAATATACAATAATATTCAAAGATTTCATAAGTTCCTCTCAGAAAGTTCTCGTGTTGAAAGTCGTTAAGTCCTTAGCATATATATATATATATATATATGTGTGTGTGTGTGAAAAGTGTGTGTATAGAAATATATATATATATATATATAATCATTTTATATATTATATGCGCGATACTTATTAGAAAGCGCTCAATATCAGAGATAGAGCTAATATATTTGGTTGGATTGATGTGAGTTTTGTAACCCTGGGTTTCACGCTTTTGCGATAGTCAGACAAACTCAGACAAGCCCAGTTTGTCTGACGATCGCAAAAGCGTGAAACCCAGGGTTACAAACTCACATCAATCCAACCATATATATATATATATATATATGTATATATATATATATATATATATATATTAAGAACTTCGGTTTAGGAATTTAATTCGTTCCCAAAAGCCGTTCGTAACCCGGAATGTTCGTAAACAGAAACTATTTTTCCAATAGGAATCAATGTAGAGAAAAAAAGTCATGATTCTCCATCATGGGAATCTGTCCAGCCCAGCATAGCTGGGACTTCAGCAGCATGGCCTTAATGCTGGTAATCTTCGTCTTTTCAAGGACTTCAATATTGGTGACGAAGTCACTCCAGTGTATGTTAGGATTCCTGCGGAGGCTGCGCTAGTGGAACAGTTCGAGGGGTCTCAGGTGGTGTCGGTAAGTGACCCATGACTCTGAGCCGTATAGAAGAGTGGCGAGGACGATAGCTCTATACACTCTGATATTAGTGCCCTTCTTCAGTTGTCTGTTGTACCATGCACGTTTGATACTCAGTTATATGAAAACAACGATATAAATTATCGCCATGTTGAAATTTATTCCATTTCTCGCACTTCACCTCTGTTAACAATCTAACTAGGAGCAGTGGCTGATAGTGATTTTCCAAGCGTAACTCAGTTGTGGCACAAGGTCGACAGTATGGAGCACCCAGTGAGGATCGAACTCACTACTCAGTCGTAATTGTTCTAGCGAGACAAGCTTGCATTACACCACCTCGAGGTGTCCTGGCTGATAAATGGAAACCTTAGCAGAGTATTAAGAGACACAAAACTTCTTTAGAAACAAATAAAATAGTGAATTGTTACGTGATATCTGTCTTCCTATATGGCGGTGAATGCTGGACAATCTCTCCAAAGATGAGGAAGAGACTTAAGACAAAAGAAATGTGGTTCTACAGTAAGATGCTGAAGATACCATGGACCAAACATGTGAGCAACGACAAGGTTTTAGAGAAAATGGAAAGAAAAAAGAAACATAATATTAGGAAGA